CTTTGTCAAAAAATGAGTTTACAGCATTTGTATGAATGCTGTAAACCAGTTTGCTTCTGGGCTCTCTATTCTGCTCCACTTACCTGTTTGTTTAATGTTTTTCCAGTTCTACTCTGCTTTGATCACTGGAGTTTCATAGTAAGTCTTGAAGTCAGTCAGTGTTGGTCCTCCACCTTCATTCTTCAGAATTGTGTTGACAATTTATTTTTGCCTTTCCACATAAACTTTAAAGTTAATTTGTCAATATCCATTAAATATTTTGCTGACATTTTTTTATTGGGATTGGATTGAATCTGTTCCATAAGCAAATATGAAATTCTCTGTGCTATGTTTGTTCCCTAATATACCAACAAGCATTATAATAGAACTGATTATATGCAGATGGAGATATGCTTTTCTCCTGAAACATTTGAAAGCAAGCTGCAGATATGATAAGACCTCACTTCTAAACATTTCAGAATAATCATCCTCAGAGAAGGCCATTTTTCTATATAACAGCATCATTATCACTCCTAGGGTGGTTAATACTGATTCATCAGTTAGTTTTTTAAAGACATGCCTATTTTTAATAAAGCTTTTTTCTTTTAAATGCTCTTCTTGTGCTGTGCTGCACATGTGTGTTTTGGGATGTTTAGACAAACAAAGAAAAGGTCCTGCCTTTAGAAGCTTACAGGCTCCTGGGGAGACAAAGACATAATAAGTTGGGAAAAGAGCCATAGTACTTGCACCTGCTTTCCTTTCATTCAAGGAATTGGGTCAGCAGAAATTTGCTTTCTGTGGAATAAAGAGAACTTTTTCTAGAGTGGAGTACTGCAGCCTGTGCCCCAGTATGAGTCACCATCCTGGTCCTAATGGACCTTCTTCCCAAACCCAAGGGCCTTGGGTCCATCTACAAGTGAAGGCTGTAAACAGACAGGTGTCTTTGCCTCCCCTGGATTCTTTCTGTTTCTGAACATTGAGGGTTGTCCTGGCATAGAGGAACGATGAGGAAGACTTTGAGAACCAGGATAAGGAATGAGACTTTATCCTCTTGGTCAGCTGTATTAAGTAGGACATGGGTTTGGCCATGATGGCTGTGAATGCAAAATTAACTGTGGCATAGTCAAGATAAGAGTTTTTCTTTGTCATGTGATAATCAAGAGATACTGAGCCAAGGGCTAGAATGCGGTCAGACCGTGGGGCCATGGAGACATCTGAGCTTATGTTGATTTATGGCTCCATCTCCCCCTGTGATGTGTCACCATATCTACGATCCAGGCGGCAGGATGGAGAAAGGGACAGCATGTTTGTGCCTACTTCTGTCCGTAGCCAGAGTTTACACAGGTAGCCATACCTGCACGCAGGAAGACACTAAGAAATAGTCTTCATTTGGAAGGCCATGCACTAGGTTAAAAGTAGACGTTCTATTCCAAGGAAAAGGAGAACATATATTGAGGGGCACCCTGAAGCCCCTGATATTCCAGCATGTGTAAAAAATGCTTTCTGTAAAATTAGCGGTCTGTTATTTGTTGCTTTTCTTATTGCTGTGACCAAGCACTGCAAAACAATTGAGGGAGAAAAGATTCATTTTGGCGCACGTTTATCTGAGATGCCAGTCCATCGTGGCTGGGGTGGTGTGGTGGAACAGAGCAGTTCACGTCATGTTGGCCAGCACGCAGAAAAAAAGAGAATTCAGAAAGGGGCCAGGGCAAGATGCAGCCCCCAGGACATCCCTCAGTGACCTACTTTCTCCAACTAGGCCCCACTCCTACCTTTCTTTATGTGGCTCAGTGGTAGAGTGCCTGTCTAGCAAGTGCAAGGCCCTGCGTTCCAACCCAGACAGCACCACCACAAAAAAAAAAAAAAAAAAAGAAGAACCGGTGAGAGAATGTATTAGGCTAAATGAGAGCACTATATTATCTCATTGAAATTCACAACACAGAGTGATGAAGTATTAAAATCTTAAAGAAGTTCTACAATAAAAGAATGCATTCATCTTTGCTCAACTTAATTTACCAGAAAAAAAAACAAAAACCTTTTCAAAACATTTTTAAAATTTTTCTCTTTTGCAGAAACCCAATTAACATACTTTGGAATCATTGAAGGTTCCTTAGTTTGCAGTGATGCAAACATTTTTAAGACAGTTCTCCTACAGATGTAGTCAACAGAAATGTGCGCGTGTTGGGTCAGTCAAGGTTCAATCAGAAAAATAGAACGACTAGGAGATATATAAAAGGAGTTGCAGTAGAGATTTGATCTTAGGTAATTGTGAGAGCTGGTTAGACAGTCTGTGTGGGCAGAAAGTTGTGGATGAAGAGTGATATTGGTAAGAAGGAGAACAGCTAGAACTTGCAGAGATGGATGTAGACCCAGATCAGTCTGTCACTGCCCCCAGTTTTGGTGATGTTGGTATCCTACAGGAGAAGCCGATTTCCTTCTTTATGGAATTGCACACAGCCTACTGTAGGAATCACAGAAGCTGAAGGAAGATCCAGGGCTAGTGGCTCCAGTGTCTGCAGGCCTTGCTGCTGGCCCTTACCCCACTTCTGTGATGAACTTGCAGATAAGTAACAATGCAGATGTACTGCTTGATGCTCCAGCACCAACCTTCTGAATGTAAGCACAATGTAGCTATTGCTTCATGTCCCTCTTCCAAATCTCAACTGGAAACATATAGGGAAGGGAATTCTGAGAAATATTTCTGCTTAGACAGGTCAGTGCATTACAAAGTCATCACACATGTTCACCAGAAGACAAGTCCAGAATTGTTTATAGCAGTATTCATCGCAGTAGCTTTAAATTGGAACTAATCTAAATGGATATCACCAGTTAAGTAGGTAAATAAACTGTTGCATGCGTATGATAGAAATAATAGATTAACACACTGTTGCCCATGCATCAGCATGGATGAGTCTTACAAAAATACTGAACCAAAGAAGACAGAGTAACTATAATTCCATTTATAGAATTTTCCTAAAAGGCAAAGTTAGCATGGTGCTATAAGTCAGGGTCATGACCACTCTTGAGAGGGTAAATGACTTAAGGATTCTGAGGAGGGCCTCTGATGTGCAGATCATGCTTTGTGCTTCCTGGTCTGGGTGCTGATTACACAGTTATGTTCACTTTGGGAAAATTCAATGAGTTTTAACTTGTATTCTTTACTATACTGTAATGCAAAGTTTAGGTAAATTAAAGTTTTTGTAAGTTCTTGAGTACTTATGGACAGGCTGTGCTAGGGGAAAGAAACTTAAATCAGAGCTAGCTGAACCCCCCCATAAGGAATGGGGTGGGGAAACAAGGCAGTGGGAAGATGCATACTGGTTGAGTGAGAAGAGGCTTAGCCTCCTGAGGACCCCTGTGGCTCTGTCTGTCCCAGGCTGTCTCTTTTCTGTGCTGGTCATGTGTTGCTATCATGATGGGTTAGGAACACGTGCACAGAGACCCATGCAGGGGCTCTTGCCTTGGTAGATGTCAGCAAAAGCACCTGTGTGGCAAGGGGAGACTGATCTGTAGACCTGGGGTAGGCTCCTGGCACCTTGATAAGTTCCCCAGCTGTCCTCGTGTGTTCCACAAGGAAAAAGCCACTGGACTATGGAGGTGGTATACATGGGTGGTAAGGGAAAAATACAGGAATGTGGGGGAACTTGGTATAGAACCCTCACGTTTATTCCCAAGCTCGCTTTCCTTCTGTTGTTCTAGCCTTTCTGTTTTATGAAATTTTAATTCTTTTCATGTGTTTTATTTTAGTGAACTCATAAGTTGGTTAGAATTATATTCCTCTCTCAAAAGTAAACTCTTAGAAAGTGCCTTGGGTTGTTGGGATGGGAGTGGGTAACCCTGTATGATGTCTGGTGTGTCATGAGACTGGAGTGTGTCTCTGATGCCCTGAACAATTATCTTGAAGCACTGTTAGTGGGGATTACTGATGGTATTTTTAACCCCTAGGAAATTAGGATTTGGAGTGTTAATAAGTTTGGTCAAAAATGCAACCTTACAAGTAGTCTAGTTTTTCATTTTGAAAAAATTTAAATATGCGTGAAAGCAATAGAGAGTATTCCATAGTGTTCTTTCCAGCCTGTAGGTTACACTATTAATTTCCCTCAGACTGGCTGGTTCTAGTCATTGCCAGAGTCTAAGACTCTGCCTTATCTTCCTTCTATCAGTACATTCATCCCCTCCCAACTATAATTGCTGGTCTCTGATCTCTTTCTGGTCAGCGATGGTCAGTGACTATGTCCTATTATACTTTGTATCTCCAACATTTAGCTTAGTAGGAACTCAGAAATTCATGATGAGTGGCTGAGTCCCAAAGTTCTTATGTGGCATTGGTGGTATAGTGGCGAGCATACTACCTTCCAAAATTCTGGAAGTAAAGAACTGATAGTTGACCCTTGAAGGGTCTTGTTTGGGGCGAGAAGATAAAAAGGCAGAAGCTTACACTGATCAGAGAGAAGATCCTGAATAACATTCTATCAGGAAAGTCAAAAGAAGAAAGTTTTGAGGAATTAGCACATACCAAAAGAAGTCAGTGGGATTGAAGATTTTGTCAAAGTCATTAATGGCTATAGGAAGGAGAGATAGTAACAAGATATTAAGGGATGAAGGGAAGAATGTGAAATAAGGAAATGGGTGCAGGAGGTAAAAAATACACATTTAGAGAAGAGAGTCCATCAGAGGAAGATTTGTGAGTGACTGAGCAGAGTGGCAGAACCAAGGATAGTCAAGAAAAGGAGACTGCATTTGAGGCAGAGATCCAGATTCTTCACTGCACATCTCATGGTCCTCTGGAATAACTCATGGGGTGATGGATGAGATGAACCTCTGAGCATCTTAGTGGTCCTATACCAGGCTGAGTCAGTAGTACATGTTTAAGAAGCCATGTATACTAAGTACTAAGCGCTTTTCTTTGATTTACGGAGCTCACACTGTCTACTTCTGCCCTCTAGTTGCCATCTTGGATCCCTAGCCCTTTTCTTTGAATGATTTTGTTTTATTTGACTTATATCCTCTCATTCCTACAGGAAACATGGTAGAATGGTGCTTACCTCAAGATATTGACCTTGAAGGTGTTGAGTTCAAGTCTATGGCCAGTGGGTCCCATAAAATTCAATCTGATTTCATGTAAGTTCTTCTAAACCTGAGTCTTCTTGTACTACTTCCTCCCCTGTCTCCCCTCCCCCCACACATACTTCCTCCAGAGCATAATAGCTCTTATCAGGAGGTCTTCAGGTAGTATGTGTAAATGCTCTGTGTTTATATCAGTTTTTCAGCAAGGATTCTAGCTGTCATCAAGTTCTCAGTGGGTTTCATGGCCCAAAAAAATCTAGTAACTCCTACCATAGAAGTTCATTCTCTCACTTTGCTGAGAAATTATGTGGACCTCACTTGAAGTTTGGTTTTAATGATAGAGTGAGATTTCAGGAGTCGTGTGAAGAGGTGCATACAGAAAGGCCATAAGGGTAATTTGGTAGCTTCAATCTCTTCATTGGGCCAAAACCATGACCAATACAAGTATAAGAAAGGGGAAGGAAATAAAATGTCAACTGTATTGAAAATGTAAGAGATTCAGGAAGTGAGAGAAGAACCATCATGGTTTATGCTAAGATAACAGACTTCTCATCCCAGAGGAGCCTAAAGGTGAATCTTGGTTCTGGTACTGCCATCCAAATCTTTACTTGTGGGAGGAAGGCTATGTCCATGGTTGTAGGCAGTTGAGCAGCAAGCTTACCACAACCACATCTTGACTCCAGCATTTATCTGGAGTGTTCTAGAGTTTCTGAGCCTTGGCTATCTCTGTGAGGTCATTTCTTTTAAGGCTGAACTTTATTATTTAGAGCTCTGGACACACTTAAATTTTTTGTTTGGAGAAGCTTCTAGACATCATCAATAGCTACAGCAAGGTAGCAGGATATAAAATCAACATAGAAAAATCATTAGCATTTCTATACACTAACAATGAGCAAACAGAAAAAGAATGCATGAAAACAATTCCATTTACAATAGCCTCAAAAAAAAATCAAATACCTGGGTGTAAACCTAACAAAAGATGTGAAAGACCTCTACAAGGAAAACTATACACTTCTGAAGAAAGAGATTGAGGAAGACTATAGAAAGTGGAGAGATCTCCCATGCTCATGGATTGGTAGAATCAACATAGTAAAAATGTCGATACTCCCCAAAGTAATCTACATGTTTAATGCAATTCCCATCAAAATTCCAATGACATTCATTAAAGAGATTGAAAAATCTACTGTGAAATTTATATGGAAACACAAGAGGCCACGAATAGCCAAGGCAATACTCAGTCAAAAGAACAATGCAGGAGGTATCACAATACCTGACTTCAAACTATATTACAAAGCAATAACAATAAAAACAGCATGGTACTGGCACAAAAACAGACATGAAGACCAGTGGAACAGAATAGAGGACCCAGATATGAAGCCACACAACTATAACCAACTTGTCTTTGACAAAGGAGCTAAAAATATACGATGGAGAAATAGCAGCCTCTTCAACAAAAACTGCTGGGAAAACTGGTTAGCAGTCTGCAAAAACTGAAACTAGATCCATGTATATCACCCTATACCAAGATTAACTCAAAATGGATCAAGGATCTTAATATCAGCCCAAACTCTAAAGTTGATACAGGAAAGAGTAGGAAATACTCTGGAGTTAGTAGGTATAGGTAAGAACTTTCTCAAGAAACCCCAGCAGCACAGCAACTAAGAGATAGCATAGATAAATGGGACCTCATAAACTAAAAAGCTTCTGTTCATCAAAAGAAATGGTCTCTAAACTGAAGAGAACACCCACAGAGTGGGAGAAAATATTTGCCAGCTACACATCAGACAAAGGACTGACAACCAGAATATATAGGGAACTTAAAAAACTAAATTCTCCCAAAACTAATGAACCAATAAAGAAATGGGCAAGTGAACTAAACAGAACTTTCTCAAAAGAAGAAATTCAAATGGCCAAAAAACACATGAAAAAATGCTCACCATCTCTAGCAATAAAGGAAATGCAAATTAAAACCACACTAAGATTCCACCTCACCTGTTAGAATAGCCATCATTAAGCAACACCACCACTAACAGGTGTTGGCGAGGATGTGGGGAAAAAGGAACCCTCTTACACTGTTGGTGGGAATGTAAACTAGTGCAACCACTCTGGAAAAAAATTTGGAGGCTACTTAAAAAGCTAAACATTGATCTACCATTTAATCCAGCAATACCACTCTTGGGGATATACCCAAAAGACTGTGACACAGGTTACTCCAGAGGCACCTGCACACCCATGTTTATTGCAGCACTATTCACAATAGCCAAGTTATGGAAACAGCCAAGATGCCCCACCACTGACGAATGGATTAAGAAAATGTGGTATCTATACACAATGGAATTTTATGCAGCCATGAAGAAGAATGAAATGTTATCATTCGCTGGTAAATGGATGGAATTGGAGAACATCATTCTGAGTGAGGTTAGCCTGGCCCAAAAGACCAAAAATTGTATGTTCTCCCTCATATGTGGACATTAGATCAAGGGCAAACACAACAAGGGATTGGACTTTGAGCACATGATAAAAGCGAGAGCACACAAGGGAGGGGTGAGGATAGGTAAGACACCTAAAAAAAATAGCTAGCATTTGTTGCTCTTAACGCAGAGAAACTAAAGCAGATACCTTAAAAGCAACTGAGGCCAATAGGAGAAGGGGACCAGGAACTAGAGAAAAGGTTAGATCAAAAAGAATTAACCTAGAAGGTAACACACATGCACAGGAAATCAATGTGAGTCAACTCCCTGTATAGCTGTCCTTATCTCAACTAGCAAAAACCCTTGTTCCTTCCTATTATTGCTTATACTCTCTCTTCAACAAAATTAGAGATAAAGGCAAAATAGTTTCTGCTGGGTATTGAGGGGGGGAGAGGGAGGGGGTGGAGTGGGTGGTAAGGGAGGGGGTGGGGACAGAGGGGAGAAATGACCCAAGCCTTGTATGCACATATGAATAATAAAAGAAAAAGGAAAAAAAATTTTTTTGTTTGGGATTGCACTGTAGAGAAAAAACAAAACGAGAAGTTTCTCTTCCTAATTTTGAGCCACACAACATATTTGGTTATTTCAGCTACTTTCGAAAGGGGCCCTTCTTTGGCCTGGCCTGCTTCGCCAACATGCCTGTGGAAAGCGAGCTGGAGCGTGGCGCACGAATGAAGTCTGTGGGTATCCTGTCCCATTCCTACACCCTGCTTTACCGGTACATGCACTTCTTGGAGAACCAGGTTCGGTGCGTAGCTTCTATATGCATGCAGGGCGGCAGCAGGACCTGCTGACGGGTGTCTATACCGGGTGTCCCCAGAGTGAAAGGCCACATGCCAGACGCACAGGTGCTGTTCAAGAGCATCCATGGCGTAGAGTCCACGCCTCAGGTGGTGGTCCATCCTTCTAGCCAACATCTTGTGAAATAATTCTTCATCCCATAATGAAAGCTGGGGGAGACTTTGCCTCCAGTTTATATTAATACTGTCATCACTCTTGTTTGATTAAATAATTTGCTGACATGCACCTGGGTGTGGTTTACCTTAAGCCACTATAATTACCTCCTTGCTCCAGGTAGGCAGACAGATTTTAAGTTCCTTTTTTTGGGGGGGTGGGGGTAATAGGACAAGAATTTTTAACAGAAGCAGGAAAACTATTTTCACTATGCAAGTTATCTAATTCATTTCCAATTATGACCGGGAAATCTATCTATAATTGTGGAACCACTGTTAAGATTTTACATTTGCCTCTTTTCTGATGGATATTTTGGATAACTTTAAATAAATATACTTGGCAGATAGGCATGGTGGTGCTTGAGCCTAGGAATTCAAAACTTTCAGCTTATGTTACTAGCAAAATAGCAAGAACCCTGTCTCAAAAAATATATATATACATATGGGTATATACTTGGTATCATTACTATGTATTATGTATTAACTTTTATAGCCAGTACTTTTATTTATTCATTCATTTTTTTGAAACAAATTATTGCCATGTGGCCCAGGCTCGTATCAAGTTTGAGATCTTCCTGCCCCAGTCTCCCAAGTGCTGGGATTACTAGTGTTCACTACCATGCTGGTCTCTATAGCTTAGACTTTTAAAATTTATCATTACTTAAAAATTTTATGCAATTTAATCCACCTTGATTCACATTTTTGAAAAAACATGAAATTTGTGGAAAAAAAATGCCTATTTGAAAATTTTCATAGAAGTACAAAAATATTTAAGAATCCTCTCAAATATTAAGAGTTCCATTGTCAGTGAATATTATTCTAGAATAGAAATAACTTTTCAAAAATAGAAGCAATTTATGAAGATTTACTTCTCCAAATAAGCTCTTAATGAAGTGTTAAATATAGTTTTACTTGTGTAGATCCGAAGAATAGCTAGAATCCCATGAATGTATGTGGTTATTGTCTGTGGTTAAGCATTTAGCATTTTTCTATTTTTTAAATCACCTGCTTCTCTACATTTTGGAACTGTGGGGGACACCTTCCTGCATACATATTTTTCTGTACTTAAAATATTTCCTCAGTTTTGTGTTTCAGAAATAATATTATGGAGTATAAAAGAGGAACATTTTTACTGAGCTCTTGACACTTTTTAAAAATTAATCCTCTAAAAACATTAATTTCTCAAATGGGCAATACTTTCTCATGGTTCAAAAGCCTACATTTATAAGGAAATAGTATGTTAGTTAGGATCCTAGCTAACTAGCAGTAACAGAGGCCCAAAAATATAATGACTCAATGAATGTAGAAGATTCTCCCATGGAACAGTCTAGAGACTGGCAGGTGGCCAACGTGGGTGGCCTGCTCTGTTGTATATAGTTGTTCAGGGCCCACTTCTCCTCTCACACTAGGACTACATCTAAGAATATTTGTATTCTAAGATGTTCCTGTCCAATTATCCAAAGCTGCTCACCAGCCCCCAGGGAACAGGGAAACACTGCGTCACCAGCAAGGTAGGCTGAGGAATATAGTTTCTAGGTAGGTGACTCTGCCCACTTAAAACTCTGGGGCTTGGGTTATAAATAGAAAGAAGGGAAGAATGGACTTTATGAAAAAAATCAGCATCCTGTAATGTAGGCAGAGGCCACCTACATACCTGTGTATACTTTTCCACGTAGCGGCCATTCCTCTCATCACAAGGGAGATAGCAGAGCCTGACCCAGGTTATGCCTTCAATCTAAAATGTGGGGTTTCTTTGTGATATGCTGCAGGTATTAGATCAGGGCACAGATCTTACCCCTGAAAACCTATTAAAATAACAGAGAGTGTTTCCCCTCTCCACTTCTCAAATGCATGATAGAAGGGAGTGTAGGAAAAGGGAAGAATGAGAAACACAAGCAAATACTAGTCTATTACCATAATGAAGTTTGAGGAGCCTGGATTGTAAAGACTCCATATTCTGGAATGGCAATATGCTCTTGGGTAAACCTCAGTGCTGCTCCGTAGAATTCCTTGTACATTTTTCTCTGCAGCTCCAGGCTTTGCCTTTTAGGAAATTCTTTCTCCGTTTTCCTCTATGACTACATCTGAAGCAGTGGTTGGAGAGCATACCCTTCTTTAAGGCTGCCTGGCTTAGAACACATTTTCTGCTGGTACACGTTTAAGGGTCTGATGGTTTCTTTAAGAGTTCAAAAGTCACAGCCTTTGATAGGCCAGACATTTGACAATACATGTCTCTCAAAAACTAAATAGGGCTTCTCATCGTTTGCTTCCAAGCACTGCCAGGTGTCCAGTGTCAAAGATCATTTCTGAGTCAAGTTTATGTGTTCTAAACTAATCTCTATTTTTTGCCCATCTCTCTCTCTCTCTCTCTCTCTCTCTCTCTCTCTCTCTCTCTCTCTCTCTCTTTCTCTCTCTCTTGCTCATTTTTCAGGGTAATTACTTGTAAGCTGTGTGCTAAATTTGGTCTTTACAGGTAAACTGACTCCTGTGTCTACCCAAGAATACTTTGAGGCATTGAGAAAGATTCTTACCTTCTGCTTTTTTGGGGTACAGAGGCATTGGCTTTTCCAGCCCCGTGAGGTACCAAATTGTTGGTGTCTCAGTTGATTTATAGTGTAAAATTTAGAACACACTATCTTTGATAAGCTGCATTTCCTTGTATTTCTGCTTATAAACTGGCCAATTCTTACCTGTTTTCATCTTACTCTTATAGTAGCTCACTGAGCAGCAAGAACCAATCTGCACATATCAGTATTTTTTTTTCTAACTGCTCTCCTAAGGCTACAAACTCAGATGACACAGGTTCTATCTTCTAACTCATTGAAGTTTTAGCAATTTAATTTGCTTCCTACTCTGCAATAGTTATTTTTTTCATCACTCTCCCCTTCTATCTGCTAAGCCAGTACCACAGTGTGTCTTTTGATGCTTCAGTAACTCATTCATAGGTACCAACTTCTGCTTTAACTAAAATAGAGGCTAAGTTACTGTAGCAAAGAGAAGACCCAAAACATAATGACTGAAGCAAGACAGAAGTCCAACTTTTCTCATATGACAGTTCCACAGGGAGAGAAGCATTCCTGTATGGTGGTGACTCTGTTGCATTGGTCACTCTGTCTTATGACATCTCCCAGCATAATGTCCTAATGCAGTGATAGAAGCTGATTTACTATTACCATATCATGTTCCAACCAGCAAGAAGAGGGAAATGACACAGAACGTGAATGCATTACTTCTGCACATTCTGTTGGCCATTTCTTGGTTACTGGCCCACACCTAACAACCTCCCAACTACCTGTCTAGGAAAGGTAGTCTGTAGGGGGGTGGGTTATGTGACCATCTAAAATTTGGAAGGTTCTATTACAAAAGGAAGAAGAGTCTTCACCCAGTTCCCACATCTGTCCAACAATCCCAGTAATTCACTGTAAATTTCTCATGCATAGTCCCAAAGTTCATATGAGTAAACACATGCAGACAAATAACAAACATATATTCTTTTCATACAAAAGATAACATTGCACGTTGCCTTTATCATTGAACAGCATGGAGGATCTTATGTTGGTACATGGAGAGCTTTGTTCTTGGAGTCATAGCAAATACTCCTGGTGCACCGAACACCCATGAAGAAGTATCACTTTGCACATGAGTGATAGATCAGCACATTAAATTTCCAGGAATCAAATCAGTTGCTTAAAGGATATATGTATTTGCAATTTTAATAAATACTGTCAAGTTGTGTTCCGTGGAGAATGAACCATTTTGTGTGTCCCACACCAATGCAGGAGAATGCCTGTCTCATCACAGCCAACTCAAAAATGAAAGCTTTAGATTTTTGGCATTCTGATGGATAAAAAGCAGTACATCAATATCGTTTTAATTTGCATCTTATTGTAAGTGATGTGGAGCACCTTTATGTATGTTTGCATTTCCTGTTTTGAATTATTTCTGTTCTTTTATTATTAATTTCTAGAGTTTTCTGTATAATAGAAATTTGTTCTTTATGATATAAATTGAAATACTTCCTAACTTGTCTTTTAACTTTCATTTTTTGTTTTGTAGAAATTTTTCTTCTTTGAATTAATGAATCTTTTTATCATTCCGAGATTTGGAGCCATAGCTAATATGATTTTCCAAGTTGGTGATTAAAGAGGACAAGAAGTAACATGAGAGGGGAGACTTGTGAGACAAAGCATGAGGAAAAGAGTCAGTTCTAGGCAGGCATTGTTCTTCACTGCAGCAGTGACGTTTATATAAATTAACTAGACTTGATTTCTGCGACACCTACTTTGGCTTTATATTTATTCTGACTTCTGATATCCCACACTTACTAGTATTTCATCTACCATTCTTGCCTTCAAGATCTCTCTAGTAAGAGAATCTTTTCTATGTTTTTTTTTATTAATCAAAAGATACTAGATAACTATTGTAGAGTTTAAAAAGTGAATTAGAAAGTAGAAGTAGAATAAAAGGGGCCTGAGGCACGGAACCACATTTTTGGACCTTGCTAAGATATTGACTTTTAACAAACCAATTGTAAAATGACATTTTGGGGAATAGTTGGTATAAGTTAAATATGAACTGGATATTAGCTTATATTAAGACATCATTATTAATTTTGTTAGGTGAAGTAGTGGTGGTTATGTGTAGGGTCATTTTCTAAATATACTTTTTTTTTAACCAGTTAATGATATATACCAAAGTGTTTATTGGTAAAATATTGTGATGTGGGATTTTCTTTGAAACATTTCAGGAAACAGAAGTGTTAGTGGTAGAGGACAGGCTATAGATGTGATCACATTGCTCAAACACTGACCATTATTGAAGCTGAGTGACAGATACACGGGGTTCATTCTCTCTTTCTATTTGTGTGTGTGCGTGTGTGTGTGTTTGTGTGTATGTTTGAAAAAAAATCCCACAAAATTGACATAAAGAAAAGCTAAACTTGACCTCAGACATATCTTCTGTTAACGTTTTATTATATATCCTTCTTGTCTTTTCCTCATGTGTAAATATATATTTATGGATCAATAACCCTTATTGAGCAGTTATTCCTAGTTTTTACAAGGTCATATCTCCTGTACAGTTTCCATACATGGCTTGGCTTGCATTTCAATGTGGCAGTTTCTTAGTCGATCTATCCTTGTTGACAGGCTCACCAGGGGGGGCTCTCCTTTCACATCATCTTTGAAAACCAATTTATCTTCCAGAAGTCTCAGCCTTCCTTCAGTATATTTTGGTTTATCTTGGTATTGTGGTTTAATGATGATCAATCTCTCTCTCTTTTTTTTTTTTTTGACAAAATCTATGGTGTGTTAAAAAATTGAGGCTTTCATCTATCAGTTGTTTAGCATTTATCTGGGAACTGCCAATTTATATTTATGTCTGTATTCATATTCTGTTCTCTTTTTACTGCCTTGTTCTGACCCATCAGTCAGTGATATCTTAGGCTAACACAGGCTGACACCAGCTTTTTGTCTAAGGCACTCTTAACTTAGTAGTGAGCTTTTCTATAGAATCTCTGTCCAAATATAGTGTTTAACTAAGCAGAAAAGACAATTGAGTAGCAAATTAACAAACTGTAAACCTAGAAAATGAATGCTTATGAGAGAAATTACCCTTGATACATCCCCTTTGAACACAGAAAATATAGATTCTTAGTGTTCTTTTTAGTGAAAATGGGTCTTAATGAAAGCACCTTTGAACTTACCCAGGACTTTCATCAATTTCACACACATCCCTGAACATTAGCAAGAGTGACACGTTATTTTAAGTACCCCACCCATCGTCAAGTGGTATTATATTACATCGCTGCCTCCTTGTGCAAAACAAAGTGTAAAATAAAATGTTTAGGACCCCTGAAATTACAAAGAACTTATTTTAGTAATCATTTTTAATATAGTGATGTGAGAGGGTTTTTTTTTGTTTTTGAAATATAAATTTGCCTGAAAGTCTCTTGCCATCACCTTGACATTGAGTGCTGGAAGCCACTCTGGGTTGGAGATGTTTAAAGAACAAGTGCTAACAGTTGGTCAATGGAAATCTTGACTCTGAGCAGTTTGTGTTTAGTCTGGAGTAAGCCACATGGAAGGTTAGTGGGGGTGGGAGTGTGGTATTGCCTATTTTTAATAACAATTGTTTCATGGCCAACTGTAATTAGGGCTACCTCTCTTTTGCACAGTGAAGCCTCTTTTTCATCAATCAATGGAAATTTTAACACACCGAAAAAAAATTAAAATGAGCCAGCAGGAGTCAGGGGCCTTTCTTCCTCCCTGTATTAATTTGCCAGGGCTGTGTAACAAAGTTCCAGAAACCAAATGGCTTAGAACAACAGAAAGTTAGTGTCTCACAGTTAGTTTAGAAGACCAAAGTCAAGGTATCAAGTTTAGATGTCCAAATTCAAGGCATTGTTGGTTTCCTCTGAGGACCAACTGCATCTCATGCCTCTCCCCTGGCTCTGGTGGTTTGCTGGCCATCTTTGAAGTTCCTTGGCACGTGGATGCATCACCCCAGTCTCTGTCTTCATCATCACATGGTGTTCTGTGTGTGTATATGTATGTCCCATTGTGTCCAAATGTCTCCTTTCTTTAAGTCATCCTGCATTAGGGCTCATTCTAATGGCCTTATTTGCCCTCTGCAAATCAGGCCACATTCTGAGGGACTGAGGACTAGGATTCCAGTACATCTTTAGTGGGGGGCAGGTCAATCTCTGACTCCCCTATTAAACATAGTGCCTTGACTTGGGGGTAGGATTCTGCATTGTCCAAATGGTATAGGATCTCATGGCCACTTTCCTGGTTTGAGGGCCTTCACTTTTCTCATAGAATTTCTTACCTGAGCAGAGGACAAAGACCAGTATGAGAGGAGAAATTCTGATGCACTTGATTTCATTATTACTTGATGTGAAATTATGAGCTCTCAGTGACCTGCAGTCCTAACTGTTTTCCCTTGTTGGGGACCTTGAGGGGTAAGCTTCTGGCTGTTCCTCTATAACAATAAAAAGAGCAAGCAAACACGAGTTCTACACAAGGAGCAGCTTTAAGCAGGGAAACAGCCATTCTCAGGAAAGCACACAGGATCTTTAGTACACCTTGCTCAAGAACAACAGACATTAGTCACAGCCTGTTAATTCTGTTTTCCATGAGAAAGAGAATGTGTTACATGGTGCTGTCAGGGAGTTTCTGGACGCATGGCTAAGCTTTTCCTAAGAATCTTCTGTAACACCAAAGAAGACTCTGAGGCAATTTCAGAATACAGGTCTTCTGAGTATATCAGGTCCTGGGTGAGGGTAGAAGGTGGGCGTTGTAGCTAGAGCTGTTCTCATTGTGTACGTATGTGTTGTGCAGACACCAGCTGGAGACACCAGGACATTACTCTCACCTGGCTGCATTCTATGAGGACAAGAAAGGGGTGCTCCATGCTGGCCCTGGGAAAGGTAGCAGCCTGCCCCCTGTCTACTGGCTGCCTTCCATCCATCGCTACATGTACCCAGAGATGAAGGTGAGGTCGGCCAGTCTCTCACAGTCCTGGACCCATGTCTGGGAACAGTAGTTGTGCATTAATTTTAACTGATAAGGAATTTATGTCTTGGGCTCATGAAAGAGGTCTGCTTTTGATAGAATTAGATTGTAGCATAAACTTTTAGGTTCACTTAAAGCATAAGGCAAATTATTGTAAACAATATACCTGTTAGATACTGTGATAGACTCATAGGAGGGGAAAGATGGATTTGATTCTATTGGTTGCTTCAGAGGTTATAAAGCTAAACATTTGAACTTAAGATGAGTTTGATGAACTTATATTTATTATGATATTTTAAATTTTATTTTTTCTATAATAATTTGCTTTTGATACTAGAATGTTTATTTAAAGTTAACAGACCTCCTGGCCATGTATTAGGTGTTGGAAAGATACAAAGATGACTAGAGGTGTGAATGTCATCTTCTCTTCCTCTGCCTCTCCTGTGGCTAGTCACAGGATATTTTAGTGGAAACCTAGGACTCGCTTGGTAGAGAAATTATGCATGAGTTTAAGAGAGACTGTGTCTTGGAACAGGAGTTGGTCCCTGAAGTGTTGACTAGGTGGAAAGTGAAGGATGCTGATTCCAGGCTGGGAGAAGGCATGAGAAATTTTAAGAGCTATGATCTACCACTTTCTTAGGTCCTTCTGTGAGTGAAACATTGTGTCAGGTATTTACCTATACCTGTTGCAGCACTCTTTAAAGTAAAATTTTCAGATTCCTGTTTTCCTGCTAAAGGAATTGAGGCTTATCAAGGGTTCTGTGACTTGGTTTAGGCCATGTAGATAGTAGGAAATAGGAGTAGAATTTAAACATGAACTTAGGGCAAAGCCAACACTCCTTCTCTGCTCTACTTCTCACTGCCTTTGCAGAGATGTGGACCAGGAGAACACAAGACATGTTCATGGGTCATAAGATAATTGTTTAACTGGGACTGAATTTTTATGTCACCTGGCCATAAGAGAAAAGAATAGAAAAATAGGGTGAAATCAGATTGTAGAGAACCTTAAATACTAGAGCATGGAATTTGAACCCTGGTATGTAACAGGATCTTACCAGGAAAACAGAGACCATGATAAGTATTTTAAACTAATTGAATATAGGGAATCAGTAATATAGGAATTGGAAGGCTGAAGAAACAAGCAGAGAACAAGGTGACTCCATAAGTTAGTAATTGCTCCAGCAACTATCACCCTATATTAGCTTTTTGCTGCCTAACAAATTGCCCCATGATTAAAAGCTTAAAACAGTACGTACATATTATCTAACAATTTCTGTGATCAGGAGTCCAGGCATGGTTTAGCTGGGCCCTTGGTTTCATGGTCTTTCATGAGACTGCAATCAAGGTGTCAGCCAGGGTTGGGGCCTCATCAGAAGACTTGACCAAGAAGTATCCACTTCTAAGCTTGTGAAGGTGTTAGTAGGATCACATTTCTTAAGGGCTATTGAATTGAGGTCCTTAGTACCTTGCTGTGTTGGAAGCTACCCTCAATTCTTAGTTCTTTCCAACTTGGCAGCTTTGCTTTATCAAAATATATATATGAAGAGAGAGAGAGAGAGAGAGAGAGAGAGAAAGAGAGGAGAATGTTAGCAAGATGGAAGTCAGAATCCATTGTAACCTAATTATGGAAGTGACCGTCCTGAAATGTAGTCATTTTCTCTTGACTAGAAGCAAGCTACTCAAGGGGAAGAGAAGATTGTATAAAGCTATCAATATCAAGAAGGAGAGTCATAAGGAGTTAGCTTAGAGGCCTCCAGTCATACCTAGGGCTAGTGCAACAAGGGAGAGAGGGATCATTATCAGAACCATGGAAGCTTGGAGGAGAGTCCTCTGCAAACTCACTGTGCTTTTGATGCTGCTGCCGCTTACGGGCACGGCTCTACTTTACAGGGTGCTGAGAAAAACTGGAAACTAGCATCAGAGGTATAGAAACTGAAGAGAATTCCTTCTCTCTTTTCCTTCCAACCTCCAGTAATTGTGTGTGTGTCCTCACTGGAAAAACCAATTGACATGGGTGTCTAGGAAATGTAGTTTGCAGACTTCCCAACCATGGCATGACTGAGAGAATAAAAAATAGCCAGAGGCTGATCAGGGGAATCTGGGCTTGCACTGATGTGAACTCTACTCTCTTTCTGTGGCCCGTAATTTGTCTTTTGACTGAAGTTGCTGATGGGCTCTCCAAATGGGGATGTGACAAGTATTTGACCAGACTGTGCCTGAATTCCTCTCTCAATGAGGAAAAAAGGTGGAACAAAGGGAGAAAAAAGAAAATTGTTATACGTGTTTGCCCTATTGAGGCCACTCATTATCTACCTATGAGACCCTAGGATATGCAGGGAAAAGGGTACTTGCATAGTTTGAAGATACAAATGTGTGGGTCTTTTATTAGAAACAGCATGTCAACATATTAAAATTAAAAATACATGCTCCTTTTGTTTCAGCAGTCCCTCCCCACCATTCCTCAGGATTTATTCTATAGCATAAAACCAACAGAATGATGTATGTGTAAGAGTGTTTAATTCAACATTGTTCAAAGTGGTAGAAAACTAGAGTGTCCATGTATGAACGGCCATCATGAATAGTGAATTAGGCGTAAGAAGTTGACAGGAAAGGGGGTGAATTAAATATGGAGGTAGAGGAGATACTGCATATACCTATAAGAAAGGAAGGACTCAAGGGAAAATGAGAGCACTGAAAAAAAAAAAAGTGGTATACAGCCAGCCCTCTGTGGATTCTGTATCCACAGAATTCAACCCACTGCACATCAAAAATACTTTTTAAAAAAAGGGTCTGTGAATATGTACAGACTTTTTCTGCAAACAGTGTGGTATAATGACTATTTACATAGCATAAACATTGTATTAAGTATTAATAATCTAGAGATGACTTAAAGCATATGAGATGTGGGGGGTCATATGCAAATACCACACGATTTTGTGCTAGGAATTGAGCAGCCACAGATTTTGGTTTCTGGGGGGGGTGGTCTTGGAACCAGTCCTCCTCAGATAATGAGAGATGACGGTATATGATCCTGTGTTACTTATGGAAAATCGTGAATATGTTCATACTAAGAAATTACTGTGGCTCTCTGCAAAAACCCACAGAAGAACAGTCCGAGAAAAGGAAATGTGTAGGCAAGCACGTGTTTCATTTGCAGTTGAACAGGGTAAAGTGAGAAGGTGTGAGGGATCCATGGCCAACTCCTGGAAAAGAGGAGGCAGCCCTCTGGTGGCTTGCTCAGCACTTCCCTGGCATAGGCCTGGGGCCCTGAGCCATGGAGGTTCTCAGGAAGTAGCACATTCCCATTTGTTCCAGACCTTTGTATGTACTCATCCCTCTGTCAGGCACCATCCCTTGGATTCATGCTTTATGTTGAAGCGTAGACTCGCTTCCTCCAAAAAGTCTTCTCCATTTTTCCCAGAATGCAGTCTGGCACCCTCCTGTGTACCCCGACAGCTGCTGCTCTTCACCACACTTTCAAAGGCTGTATTCCAGTTGCTCATTTACTTGTTTTTCTCACCAGCTGATACACTAGATGAGGACAGGAACTGGGGAGGCGGGGTTGTTCATTGTTGGAACTTGGATACTTAGCACTTTGGCACAAATTAAGCACTTAAGAGATATTGCATCCATGAATAAACCAGTAAGTGAGATGATCAATTAAGGATCAATCATATATTCTAGGACACACTGATACAAACTCTACCCAATCTTCGAGCAGTACAAACACATGTTAAGAATTGAAGATAGCAGAAGGAAGATGGGGAGGAACAGGCCTGCTCTGGCTCCTTCTTGTCTGGTTTCTGTTTGACCTGATGAAAGACAGTGATTAGAGGGACCTGATCAGTCTTGGATGGCTGGTGCCTCTCCTGATGGTGCTTCTCCATTTTGGATGGAGTGGCAGAGTAGGCAAAAAGTCACAGTGGGGTGTGCTTCAGAATGGGAAATCATCCCCCAAGTAAAGCAGACACAGCATTGGAGGCTGAGGACAGCCCTGGTCTAGCCTGGCAGAGGACAGGGGCTGCCTCAAGGATAGGGACTGGGTCCCTCCAGCACTCTTAGTCATTAAACCCAGCACATGCCTTGGTGTGGCTGCCTCTTTTCAGAACTGCTCTCACCTGTGTTTCACAGGAGAGGAACACTCTTACTTCTGACACTGAAGCATTGAAATGACCTTCCGAAATGCTAAAAGGGCACTGGCTTGAAGCCTCTATTCTGTCAGTGACTCTAGTGGTCACTGTGTACGGCTATTGCCAGCTAAGTATTTCGTGTTTTCTCTTAGGTGGCCCCTATAGCCATGCAAGGTAGGGGATGGTCTTCCCATGTTACAGTTGAGGAAGTGAACTAGAAACATGTGCTCACTTTCCCCAGGCTCCCTGTTAACAAACGATGGAGCCAGGATTGTAATTCCTTATGCTTATGATCTGAATGCCTTGAATAACCCTTCTAGAAGGTAGTCCTAGGGGATGCTAGGCACCCTGCTGCTAAGCACCTAAAGAAAGGGGTTAGAATTGAAGTTGACAGGGTTAGGCCAGTTGGTCCCATGGTTTCTCCCTGCCTGCAAACACTTCACTGTGGACAGGCCCCAGGTCCCTGTATATGTGCAAATCTAATTTGGGACTCTTTGCTCATCATTTTTATTATTTGCCCTCAGTACTGTTTTTGAGTTGAATTTTCTCACCGAGGCATACTACTTTCAGAGATGCCTTAAAAAAGTAAATTCTGTAAAAATTTATGACTTTTAAAAAGTTAAATTCAGCTTTGTTTCCTCTGCAGCTCTTTCTCCAGACTAGGGTAGTTAATATTCCTTGTACTCAAACTTCAGTGTATTAGGGGAACTCTTTTATTCTAGAAATCAGATTTAAAGAATAAGGCTTTTAATGAGACAAATACCATTCTGTGTGGAAGTAACCATTCCTTAGCATGTCTATTGGGTTGTACTTTGGATTTCTTAAGGGGAGGGAGTTCACCACACACCCATAGTGGGTGTTTTTCACAATGACACTTCTAACAATTAATTCATCCCTTCCTCCTCCACCCCACCCCTTTTTATTTTTCTAGATCACACACCCAGCTGGCTGTATGTCTCAGTTTATTAAGTTTTTCGGGGAGCAGATCCTCATTCTCTGGAAGTTTGCCTTACTTCGGAAGCGCATTTTGATATTTTCTCCCCCACCTGTGGGCGTTGTGTGCTACAGAGGTAACTGGAAACCTGAGGTCAGGGCCTCTTCCTAAGTTCCCAGGAACTAGGACAGTCCAGACAGCAACTGCTCCAGTCTTTGCCTTATTGACCACAATCAGAAGAACTTTGGCTATATCAAGGGGATTGAGTGTTTTAATCCTGGGAGTAAGCTGATTAGACTTGTATTTTAGAATGTGGAGTCTAGAGGCAATGAGTAGATGGATGGGGGTGACACATCCATGTGACAAGTGTGCACTGCTGTAGACCTGCCTGAGAAAATGTGTAGTTGGCTCAGGGCCTCTGGGGACAAGTTGAGCTGGAAATGAAGATTTGAGAATAGCATAAAGACCATCATGATAGGCTGTAGGCATGGCTCAAGCGGTAAATACTTGGGTTTCTTTTGGTTCATTGTCCTGGAAATCAGGAACAGTAACGCCCAGTTCTTGATGAGAGCCTTTTGGTGAGAGAGTAGAAGTAGGTATGTACGTGAGAGCAGTGCGAGGCTTGCTTTGTAACACTCTGCTCTCTCAAGATAACTGACTGTCTTGGAACCATAGTAATAAGTTCATGAGACAGAGCCCCCATGACCTACTTCTCTCTTGAAGGCCTGCCACCTCTCAGTACCATACATTGGGGACTAAGCCTCAGCATGATTTTAGTGTGGACTAAAATCCACAGTCCACACTAAACAATAGCAGCTTCTTTGTAGGCCACCTGTTCAGAGAAGATGTTTCTTTCCTTTTTATTTTTTTTTTCCTTTATATGGTACTGGGGTTTGAATGCAGGACCTTTGCTTGCTAGGCAGGCATTCTACCCTTTGAGTCACACCCCTAGCCATAAGGTGTTAACCAGCAGGCTTGGGTGGGGGACAGCACATGGAAGGGCAGACTCCCTTCTCACCTGCTCAGTTCCCCCTAGTGTACTGCTGCTGCTGCTTAGCCAATGTCTCTCTGCCTGGCATCGGGGGGACCATTCCTGAGTCCAAGCCTTTCTTTTATGTGAACGTGGCTGACATCGAGAGCCTGGAGGTAGAGGTGTCCTATGTGGCCTGTAAGTAGTGAGCCCTCCCCTCCTCCTGCCCCCATGTCCAAGCCCTTCCTGCCAGACACAGGTTCCTGGGCTCCCTGTTTTGCTGGTGAGGTTGTGTTGGTTCCTTCAGTGGTCCCTCAGGTTCTGGCCTCCTCAACCTCGGGTTTGTAGGCACCACGGAGAAGATATTTGAGGAGAAGCAGGAGCTGTATGACGTCTACGTGGATAACCAGAATGTGAAGACACACCACGACCACCTGCAGCCCCTGCTGAAGATCAACAGTGCTGACAGGGAGAAGTACCGGCGGCTCAATGAGCAGAGGTAGGGGCAGCCCAGGTGCTGTGCTTAGGTGTGCCACAGGTGCTGATGTGATGGGCACGTCCCAGGCCAGCACTGCACTGAGAGACAGTCAGAGGCTATGGGTGCTCCCACCTTCTCAAGACTGCCCTGGAGTGTCTGCAAAGCTGGTTGTTCCACCCCTTCCCTTAAGAAGCTTTGTTGCCAGGGCATGGGCTGCCTATACCCTGGAAATGAAAGGCAGCCTGTGCTGGAAGAAGTCTGGCCCCATATGTCACCCTCACAAGGGGGCAGCAGTAGACATCGGTGGATTTTGGAAACTGAAAGCTAGCAAGGGGGCAATTGCACTAGCTTCCAGAACTGATGACCTTGTTTATCTGCCGTGTGTGTGTGTGTGTGTGTGTGTGTGTGTGTGTGTGTGTATTTGGAACAACCATTTATTGAACATCTACACTGTGTAGATGAATATTAAAACTTGTTTATTATCTCATAGAATTCTTAATAATGCGGTTATCTTATGAGATACATGTTATCATGGTCCTCCCCATTTGATGAACAACATCAAAAGATCAGCAGTTGCCTAAGGCTACCAGGGGCAAAACTAGCTATGGCCCCTGGGATTTTGAGTCAATCCCTGTTTGTTCTTTTCCTGGCCCTTCTCTCCCTGCCTCTGGATGGGCCCTGCTCTGGCCTGAGCTGCTCCCTAGGCAACGTGGCCCATTGCAGATGCCTGGCCTCTGGCCAAGCCTGTGGCTGGGGCTCTGTAGCCACCCTGAGTCTGATGGTGCTCTCTGTTTTGACAGGCAGATGCTGTTGTACTCCCAGGAAGTGGAAGGAGACTATAATCCTTGTGAAGAGGACCTCTTTGTGCTGTGAGTTGGCCCAGACACTGGCTGTGGGTCCCTGAGGATCTCTTCAGCACTAACTTCTGCATAACCTCTATCCCTCCTATATCACCCACTACAGGCTACAGTGTCCTTTCTTGCTGTCAAGGGCTGTTAGAGCCAGGTTCTGGACAGAGCCACCCTGAGCCCTAAAAAGGCTATTAGAGGGAGCACAAAGGCAGGGGAAGAGGCAGGGGCAGGCCAATGAGAAAACAGGAGTCCTGGGGTGTGCTTCCTTGTTCAACATTTGTATCCAGGATGTCCACCACATAGCGCTTCTGTTCCTCAGGGCTCAGGGACTTCCCCTGAAGGGAGCAGTTTCTGGTGCTGAGCATTATGGGATAATCTGAAATTTTAACTCTTAAATCCAATGGTGTCTCTTTCCCCTAGATCTATTGGTGGTCAGGCACAGGTCCTGGTCTTTACTCCTTCCAGCATTATAAGCAGCCATGTAAACTGAAACAGAAGCAAGTCTGCTAGCTTTCTGTTTGGTCTTCTTGCCCCATGTGCTGGGATGGGCTTGGGGAAACAACACTCACAGTTAGGACAGTTCCTAGCTTTGATGTGGAAGTGCACTGTGGACGCTTCCATAGTGGCTCAACCCGATTTTCAGTGTACTTTTAGATGCTCTCACACTGTGTGGGTTTGCAGGTCTCCAGGAACTGAGCAGAACCATAGCTTGTCAATGTGTAGCACAGGCTATATCAAATTCTGAGAACCCAAAGCTGCCCTTGGCAGTAGGCACATCTGCCAACCTAGTGCTCTGAGCAGCACTGCTTAACCTGACTATTAATATCTTTCTGAACACGGCTTGTTTTGTGGTACTGGGATTGAACCCAGGGTCTTGTGCATGCTAGGTAGGCACTCTACCACTTGAGACATGTCCCTTTGATTTTCATTTTGTTTTTGAGACAGGATCTTGCTACCTCTTTTGCCCTGGTTTCCTTGAAACATGAGCCTCCTGCCTCTTAAGTAGCTGGGATTACAGGTGTGCACCACCATACCCAGCATGAACATGGCTCATTTATTCATGCAGAACTCAAAGCCATGATTTTCAAATTTTGCTGTGTGTATAATCCCTCCTTCCCCAAAAGCGTAATCCCCAAAAGAGAACAGACACCTAGGGATACAACCAGTTATGCCAGTCTTAGTGGCCCTGGCCCGTCTTCCTGTTCTCTTATAATAAGCCTCCCCTCCTAGCACTGCTGGGTTTACAGTAGCCCCGTGGCTGCTGTAGCCCCTCTGAACCCACCTCCCTTTCTGTCCACAGTGGCCTGGGGCTGTAGGGTCAGTGCAGGGCCCTCTGCTCTCTGCCACTGGCTCTAGTGGCTTGTCCAGAGCTTTGATGAATGTACATTTCAGCTTCTCTTGAAGTCTTGGTGTCAGAACTGCTTTGTAAGGTTTTGTGTTTTCAACTGCCTTCCCTGATGACAAAGCAGAAGAGAGAAAGCAGTATGTGGTACCTGTCCCTAGGGCTGTGTGTACACTACTAATGACTTCCCTCTTCCACAGGGAAATCGTGTTGGCAGTCAGGCTATCGCCCACTCAGACATTTCTCCATCATACCGCAATTCACGCCAAATGGTTTTCTGGGCTAACCTTACTAGCACTTTAATAACTGCTCCCACGTTTACTCTGTTTTCTTTATTTTGAATTTATTTCTGAAGCCCTTGAAAAATACATTAAACAAAACAGCACAGTTTGGGTTCCCCCATGGGACTCTCTGATGAGCTCTTTCTGGTCCTTTCTTCCCTCCCTTTCCTGTCTTGTAAATGCAGGTTTTTCCTAGAGCAAAACAACCGGATATTCCAGACTTTGTTGGAGGTATCTGCCAGTCAGGACAAAACTCTGACAGCAGAGCATGCCCGGGGCATGGGCCTGGATCCCCAAGGAGACCGGAGCTTTCTTATGGACCTGCTGGAAGCCTATGGCATCGACGTGATGCTGGTCATTGACAACCCCTGTTGCCCATAGGAAGAGTTACATGGGGACTGGCAAGCCACTCAAGTGGGGTGACAACAATTTGTAGTACACCCCAGGCCCCCAATTGGCCTCATTTTTTTTTATTAAGTTGACAGAAAGGAAGATTGTTTATACTTTGTCACAAATGTAATTTTTGCAATTTCCTTTCTTCCCTTTTCCCTTAGGGGTAAGAGAGACTGCCTTGGTTTTGCATCCTGCTTTTAGGACATTGGAATCTCTTCCCAGAGCTGTTGGTTCTTTGGGTTTAGTCTTAGAAATTCTGTCATTAAGAGCAGGCTGAGCTCTAGAAACACTGGGGTGAACTGCTCAGATAGTCTCTATGTCCTTGTCCCTTGATTTATTCAAACATAAGACAACCATCTGTGCAGAGTGGCCTTAGATATTCATCTGCCTAAAGGCAGGAACTACCCAGATGACCTTTCAAGGTATCAGATTCTAGGAGTCGGAGTGTTGGGATCAAATCCCTTTTCCTGTTCATGAAGGCAGTATGTCTTCTCTGTTCACTTGAGTAGAGTGAACAGAGAGGGACAAAAACATGTTTCTCACCACATATGAGCTCTAAGGACAGCTGAAAGTTAAAATTACAGAATGAAGTTTTGAAACCCTTCTCAAAGTAAGTGAATTGTGGTCAGTCAATACAATGTTCTTTCTGTAATCATTCTCCTTCCCACTACCCTGAATGGTTGGCAAATTCCTCAGGGCTGGTGTTGGCCCTAGAGCTTGGAAGAAAACTAACTGTACAATTTAGTTTCTTAAGGGATAAATGTCCTCCTGGAGTAACCTGGATATTTGTCAAGGGCAGAGCAGTGCATGTCTAAGCAGGGTAGAGAAGAAGCTGTAAGTTTTTTTTGCCTGGACTTGGGTTCTATGGAGCCACTGCCCACAGCCCCTCTGGGACAGACACTGGATTTCATATCTAGCCAGGATGAGCTGGTTGACTCAGAAGATGAAGCATGTTGTTAAAAAGACTGTTTACCAATTTGGAGCCCTCACAAACATCTCTTTAGCAGAGGTGACATTCCTTAGGCTAAGTAATTAGGTTCAGAGATCTAACAGATTTGTTAGAGAGAAAATGTTGCAGTGCCTTCTCTTTGGAGAGTGGTCCACAACCTTCAGTGTCAGTGATGATGGCACCTGCTTTCTTAAATGTTTGGTCTGGGCATGGCCCTAGAGCCACCTGCCAGTTTCCTTGGTCTGGGTTACTTGATGACTACCAGTTTGGATGAGAGGGCAATTGTTAACCATAGTCAGAAAGCCTGCTTTTGTGGGTAGAGTATAGGTTTTTTGGCTATACTTAAGAATTTCGACTTGGGATCCTGGGTTGTTGATAACAAAGAATTTCTTCCCATGCACCCTTCCTGCCAGGCTGTTACTGGATGTGTCAGTGCATCCATGTCTGTAACCAACACAGAGCCAGGCTAACATCCCCAGCAGAGAGAAATAACCTCTAAATGGATGGGTCATGGTTCCGTCTCAATTCTGGCTTCTTAGGGCTTATTGCTTAGCTCAAAAGTATTTTCACTGTAGCTCCTTGATACAGTATTCAAGAGTGAAGAAATCCATACGTGTGGAAATGCAAATGGACACTGACTAATCAAGGTAGCATCTTTTATGTAAATATATAAATAGGTTTGGGCACTGAACTGTAAACTGTGCAACTAACACATTTTCCTCCTTTGCGGTGTAGGTTTAGCCATCCAGTAACATGTTTACGAAACACATCTGTTTATCAGCGAAGGTTTTGCCTGGTCCCCTTTGTGGGCTACCCTTTCCTCCTTGTTCGCAAGGCTCAGTGGGTGCTTTCTTACTAGGGTCAAGTAATAGTGGTGTCCTAGGGCTCAGGGTTTTCTGAGTTGGGAGTGGGTGGCTAGAAATGGCCATCGTCGTGAAAGGAAAGGCCTGATTCTCCTGGAGAACACAGGCAGACCGTTTCTCTGGAATTGGGGGACTTACTAGAAGGACCGTTTCTAAGCACTCCTGCCCCAGACCCTTCTATGTGCAAACACTTTTGTTGCCTGTGATGTTTTAACTGTAAGCAAGGGTGAGAAAGAGGTTCCTGTGATGCCCTTTGAATGGTGAGTCAGGGCCATGGGCTTCTAACTAGGCAGCTGTCTGATATCTCCTGTGTCTTCCTCATGCTCATGCAGAGGGCTGTGGTGTGAGCAGCCCTGGAGGGGAGGGTACTAATGAGGCAGTGGTGCCCACTTTTAGGTCATAAGGCACGGGCTCAATCTCCCTCAGTCCTTCCCTACCTTGCCAACTTCCTCATGGGACCAGAAATATGGTGCACCGCCTCTGCTTGGCTGAACAGAATTCATGTTAGCTCTTCACCAACCTTTGTCACTATCATGCTCAGAGTTGTCAAAGAAGTGGTGCCTCTTGCTTCCCACGTCACCTTTCATACCAGGCTCTGGTCCCCATTCAGAAGTTAGCAGACACAACTCAGTGCCATTTGCTGCCAGATGCTTGTAAGGGGGATTCATTTGTGAAGTAGTAGGCAGCACTCAACAGTGACAGTGGAAGCTAGGAGTCACATGGACTTGCATTTCTGTCACTTTGGAATGTTCTCTGTAAAAAGCATCTGCTTTTGTTTGGAAGAAGTTAGCAAACACCCTTTGCAGCCTGTAGTTGTAGAAGCTCAGTAGGGGGAAGATGTTTTTACCACCGTTGGCCTCCAGGAACAGGGTTAGAAAATTAGTGTGTGTCCTTCCACCCCTCTACTGGTGGCCATCATCTGGCCCTGTCAGCACAGCGCTTCTGGGGAGCTCTAAGTCTGACTGATCTGCACCACACTGAACTGTGCACTAATCTGGAAATGATGCTGGGCTGCCCCATTCCTGACCAAGTGAAAAGAAAGACCTGGTAGCAAGAATCATTGTGGAGACTGGAATTCAGGTGTTGGTTTGTTGACATCCATGTTAAATATAACAAAAGCCTGTTAAAGTGATTGTCTTTAATTGTGTAGGCTTAGCAGATGGTAATACTCAGCCTTTAGGACAACGTCCAGTTGTTGCCTGGCTTAGGATTCTTTTTCTAGAAGAGATAAGCAGAGCTTATCTTCTACCACACTAAAAAGTGTGGGCCAAATCATTGCTTAGCATTAACTCTGGCTAAACATGCAGCCTTGCTGATACCTGGTATGGATCCATTCCAGTGTCAGTTTCCTACCTGGACTTGTTTGGTCCTGTCAACTATGAGTACAGTCATTGGGAGGCACCTGTCTTCCACACCTGCCATCCACTCTAGCATCTCTTCTTCCATCTGGCTCGGAGAGAGAAGCTGAATTCATGGATGTATCAAGAAAAGTAATTTAGCAAAGAAACTTGTAACTTATCTTGTTATAAAACACATGAAAATCAGTTCCACATGTGAAGGTTCATTTGTTACATAACTCCCTATGATATTATAGCTGGAAGATAAAGTAAATTAAGTCATAATTAGATCACTCTTGTCATTCTGGTGGTGAGGAGGATGAACTTACTACCCGTCCTTATGTACTGAAAGCCCTTCAAACACAGGGAAAAGGTGAAGTTATTCACCTCTCCAGAGGCCTTCAGGGAGCCTCATGTAAAGGGTGGTTGTGAATTAACCTTGTATTGGCAGGGACCTCAGGGACTGTTTCTCTTTGAAACTGCACAACCCAGAAAATGAGTTGAGATGCTTTCTCTAGGTCCAGTGTAGATCATGCTTGGAGAGGTAAAGGAGGGAATGGAAGGTGGGGATGAATAAAATTACACAATAATGCTCAGTTCACAGTGAGCTTACCTTAGGGGTAAGAACAGTTCTAAAACAGCCAAGAAATTTAATATGGAAACCAAATATTCTGGTATCTCCTTTAGGTTTCAGGCTCGTAGGCTCTGAACCTGAAAGAAGTCCAGTCCTTCCATCTCCAGCCCAGCAGCTCATCATTACACCCTGTGGCGAGAATCCTGCAAGCCCATAGGGTTACCCTGGCAGGCCTAGTCTCATTCCTTCTCATTTCAGAAAACCCTTTTCTGATTCAGGTAGGGGAGGGGAGGAATTAAGGGCTCCTTTTCAACCCAAGTCATGTATTTTTTAAAATATCTTTATTACTAATATACCTCTATTCCCAGGAACTATTGGAGCACTCAGTGTTGTGGGAAAAGGCTGTGAATTAAGTTAATGTTTTTCTTGTAAGAAATGGAAGTTTATTTTTATATTGATGTTATTATGTGATGGATTAAGTATAAAAATGTTGAAATGGAAGGAAATTTCAAAACTATAACCCTAGAAGAAACAGGCAGCTTTATAATTTAGTAGCAGCCAAGGCCCTTAAAGCTTTACTATCTGAATGTTTTGGAGCACCATTGTGCTGTGTGCACTCAGCAGCACAATGAGATCAACTCAAGAAGCCCAGGAAGGCCAACACACAAACACAAACCTAAGGAAACTCTAGGACAGAAGAGGGGAAACATGATCTTTTGATTATTACACCTCTTCATCAACTGGAGAGAGGTGGGAATGGGAGGGAGTTCTGTAACTGGCACTTTTTAGGGAGCTGGAATTGAGAGGCGCAGTTGGATGACATTACAAATTTAGAAAGGAAATAGGAAATTTCTAGTTCTATGTGGAGTGCTTTCATCTTTTTAGACTTTATTCTAGAATTTCAGCATAATGAATTTCAACTGGGATGACCCAAGTTCAGAAAGTTGATTTAGCACTATAGGAGAATAGTTGTGAATTACTTATGTTTGTAGCAAAATGAATGCCTGCTCAAATGATAAGTTTACTTTGCTTTCCAAGGAGAGTTGGGAGATGTGGGGCAAGGTAGGGTATTATAAATTGGCCAGAAATGATCCAAATGAAAAATCCACACAGAGGTAAATTGAGTTAGCCGGATGAAATATATTTAATTGGCATTAGAGTGAAAACCCCTTCGAGTAAATTAAGCAAACACCAAGTATATAAAAAAAATCAGGAAAACAAAGTTTGGGTCGTCGTGCCGACAATGGCCCCTGATGAGGAATGGCAGGGATGCTGCTGCTGAGAGGCCTGGGTGGGCTGACATGAGGGGTTGAGGGCTGAGGCAAACAATGAACTTCCTAAATATGTAAACAAATATAAACAAAATAGTTTAAAGCTTGGAAATCCTATTTTCCTATTTTTTTCCATGTTAGGCTCAACATAGTGTTCCTGTTGCCTTAAATGTAAAAACCCTGTTTTGAGTAGTACCCCATCCTAAGAGTTACAGCAATAAGGAAACTGAATCTATTTTTGTTTGAAGTCATTACCTCATGTGATGAAATGAGAAAGACGGTTCTTAAGTTTTGCCCTGGATACTACTGCAGACAGGTGTGTTGTTCTCACACGCTGTCTTCAGTGGTGGTCATTTAAAGGCCTGAAGAAAACTGGGGTTAATCCTGAGGCTAAGAGTAAATATTTCTTGAATTGCTTTTGTTTGGCAGTACAAATAACATCCATGTATATCATATCTGTAAATATCTGAACCAAGTTGTGTGCAGAGAGGTTAATATAACTATATTTACAGAAAACAGTTTTTACAATTAAAGTCCACATTTTAACATGAGCTTGTGTTCTGTGATCCTTCACCTAGTCGATGTGGTGTGTGGTAGGAAAGAATGATGATGTCTAGCCCATGAGTAGAATCTATGGGCTGAAAGCTGCCTTTATTTACAATGACATGGAGGAGACTGGGGAGGTCCTGCCCTTCTCTGAGGCTGTGGTATGGACAAACATTCTCCAGGAAATGGAAGCCCACGTTGAGACTAATACACCATTTAGAAGAGCCAAGGCTCTGTCGTCTCAATCACAAGAGAAAACTTCTAGAAGCAGCCTTTGTTTCACAAAATGTCTTGCTAAAGTTTAGCTTAAAACATTCTGTGTTATAATATACACGTATGTGTGTATTGGTATATTCTAAACTTTTTAATTTCTTTTTAACCTCTTGGGGAGTTACTTTAAACCAGTATACAGTGAAACTGTTAACATTGGTGGCAGAGCCAGGTTCCTACTTTCAGAACCAATGGCCATGTTACCTACATTCTGGGGGGTGTTGTGAAAACTAATGTGTTAAGTGCATGTGTAAAACATTGGCCCTTAGTAATTTTAACTGTAGAGCCAAGGAAAAGGCTTTATGTCAAACTGTTTTACAGACAGCATCTACTGTGACTTTAATAGAAATAATCAACTTGTGAGTGAAGTTAACCTGCCAAAAAGTTTGTGCTAAACCCGAGGGAACCCAGTTTCTTCTTCACACAGCTTGGTATTCTAGCTTGGCTGATAAGGATCACTGTCCTGTAGATGGCATTGTTACATGTCATTTTATGTGGGCATTACATGAAAGGACAAAGCAACAGATAGTAAGGAAGCCAAGTCCCCATAGGATATAGTCTGAATAAAGAAAACAACTTGAAACAAGTCATATTTGTGAGTAAAATTCTTAATATAGATTAAATATCCTTCCCCAAGCATCTGTACCATTATGATTAGATACACAAGCAGGTAGTGCTTCAAGGAACAAGAACACCAGACTCTGTACAGGTCCTACACACTCTACAGAAGCACAGTATGCTCATTTTATTTTCTTTTACCACCACATCCCCTTCCCTCTCCATGGGCAGCAAGGGGTGAGCAAACCTCATGCTGACATTCGAACCCACCTGTAATTTTTTTTTTTTTTTTTTACTAAAGCAGTGCTTTTTATCACCACTTTGAAGCATATAGTACAAAATAGGTAAACCTTATTTTTTGTTATCTTCATTTATGGTCTTTTCATAGCTCCTATATAATCCATTAAGCACCGGTCTTCACTCTGTAGGACACATGAGTATGTTACTCTGTTTCTAAAATTGATCTTCCTGAGAGGCCAGACCTGCCAGCTCTTCTTCCTCACTTCCCCCTAAACAATTTTCCTTCACACAAAAAGAAAGGCATGTGCACCATCATCTATCTCACTGTGGTCTAAGGCCCTCTAGAAACAAAGACAAAGGAAAATGCCAAATGGTAGTATTCAAAGTAAATGATGCTAGTGACTGGGTAGCAAATCAGGTGGGTTTTTAGTTCTCTGCTTTCAACAAACTTATAGAGAATATAAATCAAGTTATTGAGAGAACAATATTAATTTTGATGATAGAACACTGCTTTTTTGCCATGTAACTTCAAAATGAATTCAAACACTGTATGACATTGTTTTAATTCTATTTCCATCTATTTATGTACTCACAACTAGAAAAAAATGACACAAGGAATATAATTGAGTTTGAACCTCCCCATAAATAACATTGAGTATTGGGTAAATGAACTAATTAGGATAAAGAATATTCTAGTAACAATTTTTAATGATAAAAAATTAATTTTCATCAATTATATACCAATAATTACAGAAACATTTGTTCTGTACTAATTTAGCACTTGGAAACTAAAAAATTATTTCTATTTATATATTTTTTGTTGACAAGAAGCAATCAAAAATGTCAAGCAAAAATAAACTACATTATGATAAGATTCTTTTGCTGAAAGTGATATGGAATTACACCCACAGGGAGAAAAAATAATTTAAAAATTTCAACTAAAGAACTAGTTCATTTATTTTTATAAATGAATGAATGAGGGCTATCAAGCTGCTATGGTATTTAAGTTACACTGCATATGTTTGAAAGAATGATGTAACAGCTTTTATTTTTAAACATCAATATTTACATGACACTAGAAAATACACTGGCAACTATTTAACTTCCTGTGAAAAATTTCAGATGCCAACATAGATAAAGAAGGGGGACACATGGTTTTTCAAAATACCTCTGGGGGAAACATGAGCAGAATACTTTCTGGAGCACTGCTTTAAAACAGTTTCTGTAGTAGGCCTTTTAATAAGATGCCTGGGCCCCATCCCCAGGTTTTGTTACTAAGTTCAGGGGAAGGGACAAGTCAGTTTTCAACATGCACTACAGACAGTACTCATGCAAACCAACACTGAAGAAGCACTACTTTAAAAAAAAAAAAAGCAATTTACAATACTTGAGACATTTGGCCAAAGAAGGAAACAACCTGACATTTGCCTTTGGATTGAGGACAAACTGAAATAAGAGCTCACAAAGTAGCAGCACCCATGGAGGAGCCCAGCACGAGGAAAAGGTTCCAGGATGGCGAGTGCTTTCCCTGGAATCCCTAGGATGGTGAAGGAACAGAACAGAACAGCAATGGGGAGCCCAGACAGTCTCAAGACCCTGCACTCCACTGTGGGTGCACTTTTGGGAGACGGCAGTTTCAGCCTCTTTCCATCCACTGAGCGTGTGCGTGTCCTTAAGGCAGTCTGAGGAAAACCACTGTCTAGGAGGGATCAACTCACCCCAAAATGAAAGCAATGTGGGTTACGGTGCATTATGGGAAGCACTGCAGGAGAAGGCAGGGGGTACTTTCCAGGAAAATGCCTGTGGGATCCTGACAGCACTGTGGGGACAGCTGAGGCATCTATTCCCTTTTGGTCCCATTAGTGGCTTCAAGTGTGGCTCCATCTCTGTGCTCACTGGGCTGTGCTCTGCAGCATCTCTTCTCTCTTCCTGGGATCACAGAAGAACTGCAGTTTCCTGGGCAGCAGTTTCACCTCCACAGGCATTGCTTCATACTCCTCACTGTCAATGCTGAAAGAACCCCCCATTCCCTGGGGAAGAGAGCAGATTCAGAATGGCTCACTTGCACCTCAGTGGCTTCCCATCACAACAGCACCAAAGTGGCTTACCTTGGGAGACATCATCTGCTCGGAGGGCTTACCCTTCTAACAAAAGATTTCAGTGCCAACTGTGACATGCACAGTGCTGATTCTGGAAATATCCCAATTCTACCATTTCTAAAAAAAGATTTACTTTTCTTTTTTAAATCTCTCTAGTATTGTAGGACTTGAAAAACAAGGTTGAAGGGGAGAGAAATGACCCAAACATTGTATGCATATATGAATAAAAGAAAAGAAAAAATAAGGTTGAAATTTTCAAATAAAAAGGGCTGGGAAAGTAGCTCAGTGGCAGAGTGCCTGCCTAGCAATGCACAGAGATCTGCCTAGGTTCGTCCCCAACATAACAAAAATAAAATATTGATTCAAAGGCAGGGGTCATGTCACATCTTTAAGAGATTCGTAAGTATCAATCTGTATTACTCAGTCCTACTCTTTCTCAAATGAAAAGTGAAACGTCCACTGGATCATTACTATTCTAGGACTTGCTGAGTGTCACACTTAAGGTATATCAGCATTATCATTGCGTCTATAAAGCCCGTCTACCACTCATGCATTCAGTCAGCATTCACTCTGTTCAAACTATGGTGCCAGTCATGAGGGGACACCTGCAGTCCTACTTAAATGCAGATCATGGCCAACACTTTTTAGCAGCCTGTAGTAACTTTCCCCTAGGATAGCACCAATCAACCTTACATTTCAAGTATCTTCAACTTTGTTTTCACTTACATAGCTTTCTAAGCATGACATTTCACAGCACAGAAAAATTCAGTGAACACTGAACTTTTCAGTTCAGTTGAACTGAACACTGCTTCTAGATCCTTTACAGAAACCTTTCACATTACTGACACACACAAAAAAATACTTCTGAAGACTTAACACTTTGTAGAAGACCCTTGCCTTTGAAACTAGAAGTCTTCCAGAGGTCAACTCTAAATCCATGACTTGGTGGGATTTTACCCTCCTTTTCAGGTCTCCCTTAACATTACCCAGACCTAGCAACATTGTTGGCACACAGAAGATGTTTTAAATAGCAGTCAGTTAACAGGCAGAGGGGAGGGGAAAAAGCAGAGAGGAAGACAGACCAACAAAGAGCCCACAGCTGAGGGGGTGCACCCCTTGCCCCCGTGCCCACCTCAGGAAGTAGCAGAGTGCAGCGGCTTGCTTGGAGACACTCAGTGCCATCGGCACGCAGTTTGGGGTCTCGCACTTTTTTACTTCTGTTGGCACAAGAAAAAGCAAGCTTAGAAACCAGGGATGGCAAGGGCATTAGACAAGAACATAGGTCTCCCTCTCTTATAAGGGCAAGTAAGTGAACTGAGACTCCAAGATGTGGGGATTTGTGAATAATTTTTCCCACTGATTCCTGCTCAGTGCTGTGACATATCAAAAGTTGAGAAGGCTTATTCACTGTATAGAACTGTGCATGAAGTTAAGACAGTATCTCTCTCTGAATTGTTTCACATATACCTAATTTTGAGGCTATTAGTCTCAAATTTAAAAATGAGAAATAATTTAAATTGGGAAAAATGCTCAATTTCTATTATATGGTCTTTGTGATTCTTTAATCCTTGAAAGAGAAAATGTTTTCATTCCAATTTAAAATAGCTATTCGTTTTCTAGGTATGAACCAATCTCAGACGTTCACTAATGATTCTCTGTACTACTGTCAACCCACTTAGCATATTAGAGCTTCACTAAATGGCCTTGGACTAAAACTACTAAACACAGACACTCGACCTCATGCGTATCACTTCCTATAAGGACCAAAAGGAAACTGCTATGCTGACAAGAATGAGGAGCATAATGACATCACCTTGATTAAGCAATACAATGGGGCTTTCCTTCTGCTTTTGGATGTCAGTGCTATAAAGGAGTTAAGACTCTCAGTTAAGACATTAGTGTGGTTTCTGGACATTGGAGGAGGAGAGGGCCAGGCTCTCACTTCTTCCCTCTCCTCCAGATATAGCAAATAAATCAGTGGCTGCAGAAGGAGCTGTTCAGTATCTGAAGAATTTGTACCAAAGACAAGAACACCACAAACTAATGAAAGCCATTCTGCTGCCAGAGCTGGTGTAGATAATGATGCAGCCATGGAGACACAGCTGCTGCAGCAGAAATGTCCAATCCCTGAATGGACACAAGAGGGAGCGCTGAGACAAAGCACAGAAAGACAGAGCCAAGCAGATTACCGGTTGGCATGGGAACATGCCAGCTCCTCAGATGCTTTAAAAGACTGCTGGAGGGTTCACAGTATTCTCAGCCAATAAAATTCTGGCAGAGATAGGACTTAACAAATCAGATGGACTTGGAAGGGAATGTGGTATTGGAAAAGGAAAAAAAGCCTGGAAAATGTCCAGGGTATTCATTATCTTTTCAAGTTTCTCATGAATGCCCTAGGAATAGGAAGACAAGGTGAACTGACATGAACAGTAAGGAATGCTGTGGAGGGCTGCACAATTTAAAAAGATGCTCCTGTGAGAGAGAATTTGAGTCCTGAGATCAGTAGAGATGATTATATTATTTCATTTTATAGATTTAAGATTCAAAAAATTTTAAATGGCCTTAGTCTTGAGGTCAGTGAGTAGCAGAATCAAGATTTGTGTTCAGCATTTCAACTAAAACCAGAGTTCTTGACCTTATGCCATGTACACTGACTTCTCTAATTTCCACTGAAAGTTAAAGGCTGCTCTTACATTTTTATCTCCCCAAAATGTGAAGGGAGGGCCAAAGCAGCAGACAGACCTATACATATCAGCCACAGAGTAAAAAGCAATGCCAGAATTCCCCATCCAGACAAGGCCTTTGCTGGATGTCTCATCTTCAACAGATTTTATGGCATGCCCTCAGCAGTACGGTCTGAGAATGCAAACTACTTAATGAAGCCCCATCCCCACAAAACCCATCTGCTTACCCAATGGTTATGAAGTCTCCTTTGCTGACAGTGTCAGGTTCAATGCAGATGTTCATAAAGTCCTTTTTGCTCTAAAAAGGTTGAGAACGCTAATGTTAATACTCGAAATTTTTGCTAACGCATCCTCTTGGAGGCTCATATTTTGAACCTGAAGAATCTACCAAAGGCAAGAATAACATGTGCATCACGGGAATTTATGTCTAGTGATTTAATTCTGAATATATTTTCTGTCCCTTTTTTCATTAAGAGCTTTACTGCAGTATACTTAGCATTAAATTCATTTTCACTGCTTTTTTTGTTTGCTTTGCTCTTTACTACATAAGCAAAATGAAATCTGAGGGTAGGAGGTGCTTGAAATTCTGTTGTTCCCTAATTTACAGGCATTAAAGTCCCTACGGTTGGTTCCTTCCTTCCCCGGAGGCCAAGCTTTCTGTCCATCCATCCCAGAATTTCTCAGTCCTTGCTGTACACAGCATCATACCAGATCCCATCCACTGCTTGGTGTAGAGAGCCCAGGTGTCTGTTCTCTAAAATAAATACGTATGCAACTAGAGTTGAAAAGCAGCAATCCATTTATTCCCTGTCGTTTGGAAACTTTCCAATTTCAACCACAGAAAGCTCTGGAAGATCTGAATGACAAGGAAGTAGCTATGAAAACAGACTTGGCTCCTGTACCATTCCCTGCAATTTGTTACCAGTCAGTAGCTAGCAATACAAACATAGCCTCCTTCAATCAGTCACAACACTTCTGTGTCAGCTTTACCTGTGTAGGCTCCAAACATGTAAGCCCAGGAGAACACACGGCCTTCGGGAGCCTAACGCCTTTGCCTGAAGTTCAAGGTACCACCAAAGCACAACTCTATCTTTCAACCAGGAGTTATAAAAGTGTCTGACATAAAGTGTGATGATTTTGCTGAGAGTTTGCCTTTCATTCAAGTACTTACCAAGTACCAACCACAAACCATAAACTCTTCATTGTATTTGGGTTAACCAATGAACAAAACAAACATGAATTTCAGCCTATGAAGAACTTAAATTCTACTGAGGGAGTGGAGGGACCAGGTCAAGCTGAGAATATCAGAAGTTAGGGTATACTAAAAGTATATCAGAATATTAGAAAATGAGATCACAGAAGTAGAGCAAGGAGCCTGAGGTGCCAGCGATAGCGGTAGCTACATTTTAAAGAGGGGGCAGGTACAAAGGTGACCTCTGAGCAGAAACCTGCATGAGGTGAGGAAATAAGCAATGTGGATATCCAGGGCAGCAGTTCTCAAGTGTCAGCAAGTATCACTGGAGGGCTGATTAACACTGCGATTCTTGTTTCTATTTGTCAATTAAAAACTAATTTAAAAATCAGTTTTCTAGTTCAGTGAATCTGGGGTAAGGCCCCAAATTTTTCACTTCAAATAAATTCCAGGTGATCTGAAGCTGCTGTCTAACGACCACATTTTGAGAACCACTGGTCTAGGAAGCGGCCTCAATAAAAAGGGAGCCTCCTGACAGAGGCTTTCAGGCAAAGCATGCCTACAGGTGCAGGGAACAACAAGAAAGCCAGCTAGACTGAACAACAGAAGATGAAGATGCAGAGGGAGCTGTGCAGACCACATAAGGAAGTGGCTTTCAGGCTGAGTGAGGCAGAAAGCCACTGGAGGACTCCAAGGAGGGAAACACTCAGGGTTCACAGCTGCAGGCTCAATGTGTTGAGAACACAGTGGCAACAGTGAGCCAGGAGGTAACATCACAGGGAAGGAGTGGATGGCCCGGAGTTTAGTTGTATGATAGGACACTGGATGCTGGGTGAGCGTGTTAGAGGAAAAATGGTTTTTAAAAAATGGCTTTAAAGCAGGGCTGAGAAGCAAAGAGGACAACTGTACACTACTGGCCTATCTGCAGAGAGAAAGGGGAGAAAAACAACCACCACTGAGAAGTGCTGTGGGACCTCAGAGCCATGCTCCAGTCAAAACAGGGAAAGGTAGATGTTTTCTGTCAGGGCCAGAGAGTGATGATTCCAGGCCTACAAACCACGAGGCCTTCAAGATGGCCACTCAGCCCTGCCACAGTGTGTGAAAGCAGCCAGGCAGCACTTAAATGGATTGGGGGGGGGGTGGGTGTGGGTGTGTGTGTGTGTGGGTGTGTGGGTGTGGGTGTGTTCCAATAAAATTTACATATGAACACTAAAATTTGAATTTTGTGTAATTTTACATGTAACAAAATAATACTCTTCTTTTAATTTTTTCAACTATTCAAAAATGTAAAAAACATTCTTAGTGGTCTGGGCATGGTTGTGCAAGTATGTAATCCTAGCTACTCAGGAGGCTAGGATAGGAGGATGGGGATTTGAGCCCAGCCCCAGCAAAAAGTCAGCAACGCCATCTCAATCTACAAACCAGGCATGGTAATGGGTACCTGTAATCCCAGCTAGACAGGAGTCATAGATAGGAGGATCATGGTCCTGAGGCTGGCCCCAGGCAAAAACAGGAGACCCTATCTGAAAAATAACAAGCAAAAAAGGGCCAGGGGTGTGGCTCAAGTGATAGAGTACTTGCCTAGCAAGTGCAAGGAGGCCCTGAGTTCAACCCCTAGTATGGTGCCCTCCACCTACCAAAAAAAAAAAAACCCAGGTGCTCTTTTTACCTGGCTCATGCCTATAATCCTAGCTGCTCAGGAGACAGAGCAGCTAGGATTCGAAGCCAGTCCCAGGCAAATAGTTCACAAGACTCTATCTTGAAAAAAATCCATCACAAAAAAGGGCTGGTGGAGTGGCTCAAAGTACAGGTCCTGAGTTCAAATCCCAATACTGCGGGGAAAAAAATCTTACCTATATATACGAACTGGATGAATACAGAATTTTTAAACATGTTGAAATCACCATAAGAAGGGGACTAAGATAGAAAGAAAAATAGAGGGGATAAACTGATTCAGATTATAACACATATATACATGGAAATGTCACAATGAAACACCTTGTACAGCTATCTTAAACAAGTAAAAATATCTTTTTATTTTTTCAAAACTGGAGAACAGAAAGGTAAAACAGATCCTATCTAGGGAGCTGGTACCCGTGGGAGGAGGGATAATATAAAGGAAAAGTGTGTGTGTGTGGGGGGGTGAATATAGTGAAAATATGTACTCATGTAAGAATGGAAAAATGAGACCTGTTGAAGCTATTCCAGGAATGGGGGAAGGGGAGAGAAAGGAGAGTGATGGAGGGGGTGAATTCAACTATGATACATTATAAGAACTTTTGTAAATGTCAGGATGTACCCCTAGTATAATAATAATAATAATAATAATAATAATAATAATAATAATAATAATAAAAGAACAAGTGGGCCTGTAGGCTGCCCTTTGCTGACCCATGTTCTTCATCTTTGTTTCAGAGGTACAATTAAGTTACTTGGAAACATTCCTTGTGAGTTTGAGAGAAGAGGGCAGCTGGTAGTCTAGGAAAAAAATTTTGTCCCACTATACAGGAAATGCTTTTCTGAGGCCACCACTCAGAAATCATTGAGTGGTACAGCAATGATTTTCTACTCTAGCTGGTTTGGAGCCTGAACCACCCCTGTCCCCATGATGTGTCTGACTCTCTTGGGACTGAGCCTGTTCCTTGTCTGTAGTTCCTTCTCCTATTCAGATGGCTTCTCATGTGCACATGCAAGTCAGTTCTCAGCTGAAGACCCCAGGGGAAATCTCAGGTCTCTGGCTCTTCTCACTGCTCTTGTACTCTGCTCTGCAATGCTAGCTACCTTGATTTCCCTGAATTCTCTGAGAAGACCAGTGGGCTCGTCATACTTAATTTCCTTCTCTCTAGGATCTCTGTCCTTGTTTCATGCCAATGTCTGTTGCCAGACATTTGTTTCATAGATTTTTGTCCAGTGTTTAAGCAGCAAAGGTAGAACTGTTGCTTGTGCTCTATCTTGACGAAAAGTCTCATCAACATTCAAAAATCAATTTATTACATTGCCAGATTTAATGAGATGTTTAATATCTTAACAGATGGGGAAATACACTTAATAAAATTAAATGTCTATGATATTTAAGATAAAATAAATCAAAACTCTTAGCAAACAAGGATTAGATGAAAACTTCCTTAATCTGATAAGGGGTATTTTTTTTTTTTTTACAAAAATCACATTGAATTCAAGAATGAAGCAATGCAACTTTTCTGTTATGACTAAGACTATGACTCCCGTTATCACTCCCTGTGCCCAACACCACTAAATCCCGGCCCATGGGTGAAGACAAAAGATCGTAAGGGTAAACAATTCTTTGAAAGGAAAAAACAAAACTTGCACTGTTTGCACTTGATATAATAAAATCTACAAGAAACTCAAAAGAATCCACAAAAAATATAACTAGTAAAAATTTAATTAGGCTGCTGATTCAGCATCAGCACACACACAAAAAAACCCAATTAAGTCAGTTAGAAAATGAAGTTTAAAGGGATCTATTTATAATAGCATCAAAAATTAAGACAACCAAGAACATATCCAGAAAAAAGACAAAGTGCTATAGGAAAACTATAAAACTTCACTGAGAGATATTGAAGATCTAAGAAAATGAAGCAATGTATCACGTTCATATGCTATGTATGAGTCGATATGTAGAACTGTCTTTTCTCCTCAAACTGATCTATGGGTACAATGTAACCCAGACCAATCAAATTTTTATGTGGAAATTAATAAATATTTATAGAAATCAAAGAGACTCTTTAAGAAGAAAAATACAGATGAATTTATCAAAAAACTATAATAGTTAAGAGAACTCAATTACAAAAAAATAGTGGAATAAAATAGAGACAAAAACATTTACATGTACAAAGACACTTGACATGTGACAGTGGTTTAGTGAAGATCAATGGAAGGAAAATGGACATTTCAACAAATGGACTTGGACCTCCAGGTATTTGGAAAGAACATAAAATTGAGGCCTTACCTCCATCATTCACAAAACTCAATTACAGGTGTGAGAAATTCCTTTTTTAAACAAAAGTAGAACCAGATGATGCAAATCATTTAACTGAGTTTTCCATTTAACAATGTAGGATGAGCATCTTGCTTTACCAGTAAATATGTAGAGGATTATGTATTAAATGTACCAATTTACCTACACTGTCTGACTAGTTTGTTACATATATTTTGCTACTATAAACATAGTAAACATATTTGTGAAAAAGATTCAATCCCCTGAAGCTTCTTTCATACTCTACACTACTTTTAATGATAAACATTTTAAGCTATTATGTGGCAGCTACCCTATCCTTGAATATTTTATTGCATTTTCTTTTATTTTTGCAGAGGTGAGGGAAAAAGAATGAATGTGCTTCTGCTCGTTCAAAAAAGCAGTGTCAGACGCCTTTATAACTGGTGCAAAGATAAAAGCACTCAGCATTCGAATGTGGCTAATCTAGAGCTGTAATCACAGGCTCACTGAGCTCAATCCATTCACGGCATTCAGTCATCAGAAAAGAGAACAATGGTAACAGAATGTGCACAAAATGCTGCAACTACATATTACTAAAGACTGAGTATAAAGGAAGTGTGTAAAAGAAATTTTATCATTCTTTTTAAAATTCCTCTGAAACTGAATATACTTTTTTAACCTTTATTTACTCACTTTTACCAATGTTTTCAGAATTCCATTATATAAGAAAGCAAAGACTGCCTACATTCCATATTTATCTGACCATATTTAAGATAAGTTACTATACTTAGTAGACAAGGGGTATGCATATATTTGAGACACTTCAAATATACCACCAAGTTGCCACTGAGAAAGGCACTGTAATTTATATTCTCATGAGAATACGAGAGCATTTACACTTTGTAATCTATGACAATTCAGTAGTTACTATTTTAATTTGTATTTCTTTGATGTTGAGCACTTTTTCTGTTCCCTTACCTATAAAAATGCAAATCAAAGTCAATACATATGTCAAATTCTTAGGACAGGCATAGCATGTGGTAAAAGCTCAGTAAATATAAGCTATTTTCTTTATCAAATGTTGATTTCTTTGGCAAACGTTCTATTTTTACCCTTTGTCCATTCTTTAAATTTTATTCTTTATTTCTTATTGATTTGTACTACCCTATCACATCCTAATATTTTTCCCAATTCGTCATTAAAAATTTATAGCATCTTCTTAAATAAGCTGATGAATGTGTCAATTGTTGCCTTATATATCATGTTTGAAAGACTGTGTCCTCTCAAGTTTATATTGATCATCACTTAGATTTTACTCTGGTACTTCAGTAGCTTTATTATTTCAAACTTAGTTCTCTAATTCAACTGGAATTATTTTAGAAGGTGAAGGGAGCTATGTCTGCCAAATGTTTTGCAATAGATACGTATTACTTTCATAATTAGAAAATAACTCAATACTCTAAATATTAAAACTGAAATCAATTTCTCATTACAGTCCTACTACATGGGCCAATTTTCTGACTGGCCAGGACAACAGAGAACATATTTGATTTGCATAAAAGCTGAATATAGTAATCAGCTTTTTTAGGAATGACTTCTATTAGCATTTTTGTCAATATAAACTACTAAAGTTTTCTCTATGCCAGAGTCAGTAAACTTTTTCTGAAAACAGCCAGATAGTAAATGTTTTAAGCTTTTGGGCAACACAGTATGTCACAACTACCCAGCCCCACCTCTGCAGCTCCAGGGCAGCGCCATGGACAATATATGTATGAATAAACATGGCTGTATTCCAATAAAACTTTATTTATGGATATTGAAATATGACTCACTTTTTTAATGCATCACAAAGTATCTTTGTGGTTTTGTTTTGGTTTTTTTTGTAGTACTGGGGTTTGAACTCACAGCCTCTGCTTGCTAGGCAAGCACTCTACCACTTGAGCCACTCCTCCAACCTCTTGTTTGTGTTAGATATTTTCAAGATAGGGTCTCATGAACTATTTGCTCAGGCTGACCTCAAACTGCGATCCTCCTGATCTGTGCCTCTCCAGTAACCAATATTACATGCATGAGCCACTGGAGCCCGACTGCAAAGTATCATTCTTTTGGCTTTCTTTCCATCATTTAAAATTAGAAAATCAGTTCTTCTCCTGTAGGCCATACAAAAGCAGCTGCCAACCCGCACTTTATTTTACCATTTATTTGAATACATGGTCTATGGCAGCACTATCCAACAGAATTTTCTGCACTGATGAAGAGATTTTACATCTGTGCTTTCTCATGTGGTAGCTACTAGCCACGTATTTAATACAGTCACAAAAAGAATGGGTATTTACTCAAGCTCCACATTTTTTTACTCAAGTGATAAAAGAGATACTATATAGATTTTTCATTTTGAAAGGCCTTGTGTCCTAAGCCCTCTGCAGGCCAACTAAGCCATAGCCAGAACATTTGCTCAGAGCCCTATAAGCTTCTATGCTATCACTGCACTCTGCTGCTGCTTCTCATTGATACTGTTCCTTGCAGGTACACCATATCCTCTTTTTCCTAATCCTTTCTTCTGTGCCCACAGAGCAAAAATAAAAATACTGAGTTCAGCCAAGTGCAGTGGCTCATACTGTAATCCCAGAAACCTGGGAGGCAGAGATCATGGTTTGAGGCCACCCAGGGCAAAAAGTTAGTAAGACCTCATCTCAACAACAAAAAGCTGGTGGCACATGCCTGTCATCCCAGCTACTACATAAGTGGGAGGATCACAGTTCAGGCTAGCATGTGCGAAAAATAAAAAAGGCATGAGATCCTACATGAAAAATAACTAAAGGAAAAGGGCTGGGGGTATGATTCAAGTGGCAGAACACCTGCCTAGCAAGAGTGAAGCCCTGAGTTAAAACCCCACTATCACCAAAAACAAAAAAACCCAGTGAGTTAATGTCAGAAAATCATACAACTTTGTCACTTTTTCCATATACCAAATGCTTTTCTAAATAATGAAAACACTTACCATCAGGTCAAGCTGGCTGTTCCGGGTTGTGATGGACAGCTCAATGGTGGATAGCTGTACGTCCTTCCAGTCCTCTGGGCTCATCTCTTGGGAGAGGGCTATAGGAATCCATCAGACAAGGGTGAGTTTCTTCTACTGATATGTCACCCACCACCACTGAGCTGCCAGTGGCTCAACTCAGCTTCCCAAGTCCTTCTGCCAAATCTCTACCTTAGCTTTACTTCATCCTTTACAGGTATGAAGTGCCAGGCTCAAAATGGCAAAACACTCTAAGCCAAAAACACCCCTACTGAAAGCAGTCACAAAACATAAATGCCAATGACAGACAAAAGGGGCACAGAGACTGCTGTGCTGATTCACAGATCACTGGGCCTTGCTTTGGTAGGACCCAGAAGGCTGAATCCAGTGATCTTAGAATGGCTTCTCCTGCCCTAGTTACATTTTTAAAACTGATTTTGGGGGTTAATTGAGGATACTTCTAAACCAAGCAGGGCTTTCCAATCTGCAGTAACCATGTTCCTCACCATCCTGTGGCTGTGCCCAGTATGAGGCGAGCCTGCGCAACACTCTCCTGTACAGAGAAGGCCGGGAAGGGGTCTCTTCTGGCTCACTGGGAGGTCTCTCTGTAGGTCCTACGTAGGAGATGGAGGCTTGATGAATCTGAGGCCACTCCTGTTAATGGGGAGAGGAAAAAACTTTTGTTATGCACTCAAAATTCCTAATTCTGGGAGTCTCTCTCTGCAAAGGTTGGTATTCTAGCTATTCCTACTAGCAAGCTAGCATCTCTTCACTGGACAGAATTTCCTCTAATTTGGAATGTAGAATCCTTAAGCTTTCTTTTCCTCTCTGTCTACATTTTTCTCCTTAACATACGGCAGAGAGAAACACAAAGTGGACAACCACTGTTTATACTTGTGTAAAACAAACAAAAATATCCATGAGTGGGGCATGGAATCATTCCATAATAAACTCATCCTTAATTTACAGAAGGTGACACAAAATGAAACTGATGAAATCCTACTTCACTTCTGGAATCATACTCCACATAGACGCCTAAAATGTTTGGCCTAGCCTTGCAACCCAAATCCAGCTTAGGGTCTTTTGCTTCTGCTTCAAAGTTCATCATTCTTACTAGATTTTTTTTTTTTTAATCTACTTTCTAGCACCCAAGTCCAGTGGAATCCTGGGTCCATCCACAGGAAAAATTCAAATCACACTCTAGACTTCCAGGTCATGAAATCACCTCTAATTTACCAGAGCCACTATTTCCATATAGCACATCCTGGCTCTTATTGATACGGGTAACTGTTCCATCTTGAATATATAAAGCTCTGATGTGATAATCTTAGTTGCCAACTCAATTGGTTTGAGAAACACTGAGGAGGTTAGTAAAGTGCATCTCTGGATCTGTCTTAAGGGTGTTTCTAGAGATTATTAGATCATGAGGATTTTGGCCTAATTTATGGATTAATCCTTTGATGGATTCCTACTGTGATGGCATCATTGGAGGGGGAGAAAGGTGGGAGGTGGGCTTAGCTGGAGGAAGGAGGTCACTGAGGGTATGTCCTGGGGGCTATATCTTGCCCTGACCCATTCCTATAATTCCCTTTTTTTCTCTGCTTCCTGGCTGCCATTGTGTGAACCGCTCTGTTCTGCCAAGTTATCCCCACCTTATTGGACTGACACCTCTGAAATTGAAGAGAAACCTTTCAAGTTGCTTTTCTCCAGTATTTGGTCACAGTGTTACAAACGTCTGAATAATATACTTGATATCCTACTCTCTAATTACACCCACATTCTTCTGGTTGATTCTTTTGTGTCCAATATATGTTAGAGTGAACTACTTTTCTGTTTTCAAGAGGGATAAATTAGACAACAGTAACAATTCTGGCTTCTCTCACTCTGCTACCTACTCCTCCCCAGTCCAGAGGGATCAATTCAAGGGCCCAGCCTGCCCTTGCTCCCTGTCTGTCAGCAGCTGCCCTCGAGATGTGTTTGCTTTTTCTTCATGTGGTAAGCTTTCATAGTGGTCTCTACCCTGAAGCTGCCCATTTTGGGTGGATAATTCAATCTGAAGTATTAGGAAGTCAGACTGCAACGACATATCTAGGCTATGTCCTTCACTCCTGCTGACATTTAGAAAGCTGGCATTTATCTCCAGAACCTGGTTCCTGCGTATTTTTATAACTTGGTTCAGATTCAGAAGAAGAAGACAGGAATATTATTTGGGGGCCTCTAAAGACCACAGTCACACCTGAGTTCAATCACACTGAGAATTATTGTCCCTGACCACTCCATTTTTTTCTCAATGCCAAATTAGTAGTTGATTACATTGTTTTTTCCTTACTTTTGGCCCTTTTGTGTCTTCATCCTTTCACAATATGACCCCTAATTCTAGATCAATCCTGTCACCAGGTTTCTGTACTCCAACACCAGGACTCAACATTATTAGAAGGAAAAAACACCCTCCTGCTGAGTATTAAAACAGAAAAACACAGACACACACAAAGGACACAAATTCTCTTGGTGTCAGGTTCTTAATGACACTTGATAATCCTAGTACTTTTTGCTTTGATCTTCAAATCTTCCATGCCACCCACCTCACCTTCAGAAGATCACTTGCTTCAATAAGCACATCAGGTACATCAGTGAAAGCATCCTAACTCTCTGTATTTTTGCTAGCATCTGGACCTATCCTCTCTTATCTCACTGAAACAGACAGCCCTTCCTCTGTCTAAGAATAATCCAGTACTCTGGACCCATATCCTTCTACTTCTGGATTTTTGCCAACTCAATCCTACTTTTGTTCTCTTTCTTTTCACTGTCCTTATCTTTTGCTTCTGGTATTAAGACATGGATATTTTTCCAATTAAAAGTCCAATATTCCATTGACCTCCTATTTCTCTGCAATTTTTGCCTTTTCTATCTCCTTTTCTTCAAAGTCAAGTTTCTTGAAGGAGTTCTACACTTGCTGTCTCCACTTTATTACCTCCTATTTATTCCTAATTATCTTCAATATGGCCTCACCCCCAATCCCTTTGGAGGTAACCAAACCTTTGGTGGCTACCAAATTCAGTTGACATTTTCCCATTTTTATTTAGACTCTTTGCTATTGGTTCTTAAAATCCACACCTTTTTCTTGAAATTCCTCTTCTATTGACTTCTATGTTGGGACTCTCTCCTAAATGTTTTCTTAGCATTTTGCCATCATTTCTGAGACTGGCTCTCTAAATATTTATATTCCTCAATGCTATTCCTGGACACCTGTTGATAATTATAACTCTATCAAACCTATAGTTTCAATGCCACTCACACATTTATGACATCTAAATCTATTTCTTCAGCCCAGACCTCTTTGCCAAATTCCAGATATAAATCACAACTGTATCTCCATTTGCATTTCTCACAGGTGTGTGACTCTTGCAAACATACCAAACTGAAAATTTCATTTTTTTTCACAAACCTGGTCTTATTATAATATCATCAACATTAATGGAAAACTAAGTTATCAAACTGTAGTCCCTCAGAGCACACATCTGGTAATCCAATACTCTTCCAACTTTTGAAGGTTTTATCTCAATAACCTTTGAACTATCTGCCATTATCAACTTTCACTATTCACCATTAGACTACACTTACTCTATTCCCATCACTTGATTAGTTTCACAATCTTCTATCTGCTCTCCTTGCCTTTAGCTACCAATGTCCAATCTCTTGTCCACACTGCTGCCAAACAATTTTCCCAAAATATAGGTCTGTTTATGTCATGCCTCTGCTTAAAACTCAGTGCCTTAAGGATAAGTCAGGCCACACATTCATGCCTACTTTAACCTGCCCTTCCCTGACCTTCCAGCTTTGTTTTTGGCCATCCAATATCAATTACAATCAATGACCACAGTCCACCACAATAACTTCACATGGCTTATTTCTCTACTTCAAATGCCCCTTATCTAGTCCTACACATATTTCCAAGTTTAGCATATGTGACATGTCCCCTAGGAAGACTTTCTGGCCCTCAGACTTAGGTAGTGCTTTCTCTGCTCCTACCTTGGCTGCTCCACAGCCAAGGCCTTCCACATTTCTCTCTTACCACTTGACAAATTGCTAATTTACTTTCACTTCTCTCCAGGACATAAATTCTTTTTGGGGCCAGAAAGCCTGTCTTACTTGGTTTTGTATCCCAGGCAAATACCAGTAATTGCTTGCTGAATAAATGGTGTATACAGTTTACAGTTTCTGGTATGCCATTTAAACATATAGCTACTCTGTTTCTTCCTCATTGCACCTAGTGCCTCACCAATGAGATTATTCCCTTGAAAAGAATATACCTTACTGATTCAGTCTGCCTTGGGTATAGAAAGGCCTTGCCTTCCCAAGTTGACTTTTAAAATCATGTAGATTTACTACTAGTACTTTAGTGATTTTTAGATGTTTATACTTAAATTTTTAAACCAATTGGAATTTTTCTAGGTTAAGGGAGCTATGTTTTATAATGGACATGAATTACCAATAACTCTGAATGTTAACATGAGAAACAAGTTTCTTACTACCATTTTTCAGATTAGCCAGCCAAATTATGAACAGACAACTTCAATTTGCATAAAGGTTCACAGTTAAAAGTGACTTTTCTATTAGCATTTTCATTAATGTAAATTCTTGAGCTTTTCTCTGTGCCAATATTTTTTACTGTTTTGTTTTGGTTTGGGTATATTGCTGGAAATTTAATACAGGGCTTTACTTATGCTAAGCAAATGCTCTACCACTGTGCTATGTCCCCCCACTCCTAACATTTTTTAACATATAGTATATAGCAGCCTCACAAAACTTTCTCTAATGATGGAAATGTTCTATATCTGTACTGTATGACACATTAACCACTATTTAGCTAGTATAGTTTGAAAACTACTGATATTTTTTTACAAGCCTGTACAATTATATATATTGCAATATAAATCTTTAATTCATTGGCACATACTAATATAGACGTACATACAAGTAATCAATAAAAAAAAAAACTAAGTAATCAAGATATGTGTCATTCTGGTTCAAGATTTGTCTGGCAAAGGTGATAAATGAAAAGCAAAGGGAAGTATCAAAGAGAAATTAAATATGGGTTTGGTGATGGAGGAAATGCGTATGCAGATGAAGGGGTAATTGCTTATCAAGACAAGAATGCTCTCTGTAACTATATATAATCAAACATACCGCACTTTAGTGTTGGAGCATGTCACATGCATTTGTAGCAAGAATTTTAGAAAAACCTGAAATATACACATGACAAAGAAACAACGGAACAATAGAGGGTAATTCATTTACAGTGTAAATTGTATTTACCTGAAGAGTGCTGAAAAAGTGGGCTGCCTTGGTTTTTAGAGGCCCAAGGTACCAGTACCTGAGAAAGATCACAATAAAAATCTGATTAGAACATTAAAAGACAGTACCAGGTGATAGTATCACTCATGACAGACAATACATTAGAATTTCACCTCTACTATGATTGGCTGCTCTGGCAGCTTAAAGATTGTGGCTAAACATAAAAGAGTATTACAGTACATTTTTAATCTGCATTTTGATGCTATGTCTCAAGGTATGTAATTAGATAATAGAAAGATTCTTGCAACTTCGAAGTATAACAGAGACTCCTTGAGTCCCTAAATTCACAAAGGTCACTAGAATGGTCTTTCACCACAGAATACAGTTTAGTATATAGTCAAAAGAGCCATGAGGAGCGGAAGATGAAGCCACACTGAGATAACACAAATGGTATATGGTCAGATCTGTTATAAGCTACAGGACAAGATCCTGTACCCCATTGTGTCCTCTCTCACATACAATTAAAATATGCAAACCAGCACACTTTCACATTCCTCATGTTTTGCAGCTTTAAAATGGCAAGTGTTCAGTCTGGGAGTGAAGAGGATCTACTACATGCATATTGCTAAATTCATAAAGTCTACTGGAAAGAGGAAGATGACTAATTGGACTTAGAAAGTGACATAGGTAGATTCCTAAAACTTGTGTCTTACCAAAAACCCCATCTTAACTTATTTATTCTGATTAATATGCATTTATTTTGCTCCTACAATATGCATAGAGGAAGAAATACAAAATATGCAGAAGAAACATACAGTATAAAATTCCCACCTTTGGGACTTTATGATTGAGAAATTAAAGCCCCCAAATGTAATAGAAAATAATAAATGACTACATATGTCGTGGTATAACTGATCACTATTGGTAAAGGGAATCAAGATAGGACAAAAACATAAGTAAAGACCTAAAATCATTGGAGTAGCCACACTTGTAAAATGAATGACACAAAAATACAGTAAAGGTATGGACCTTAGAAAGTACCTTAGGGCATGAGATGGGTTCAGATACATGAAAGAGAAAGAAAACATCTTAGCAAGAAGAGGAGCAAAGGTATGGGAAACAGTAAGAATACCAGCCAGAAAACGAGGGGAAGCTTTAAAAAATAGAGATGCACAGCTACACAACTAGGGTTGACGACATGGTAAATTGAGCTTGGAATACCAGAATAAGGATTAGATATAATCCAAATAATACAATGGACAATGTGGGACAATTCTAAATTATTATTAGGGGTTAATATTTTGATGCTACTAATGAGGGCTTTGGTCATCTGATTTTTGCTTGTTTGTTTTCCAAGCTTACTTTATTGTTTGCTTCTTTTCCAGTTAGCCAAGTTGAAAACATCCTGATTCAGGCAGTTTATTTCTAAATTGTCAGCAGTTTCCTTTCCCTTTACCAATAGTAAATTTTGACACTATGCTTGAAGTCTTCCTATGGCCAGCCAGAGGATGATTTCTTATATCTCTTTTGTTTCTTATCTCACACCAAAAGCAACTCAGTGACCAATTCTAGCCAAAGTTCTATATTACCACCACCAAATTTTAAAATTCATTGTTCAAAAACAAATCAAAATATGGGACAAGGATGTAAGGTATTCCTAAAACAGGTGACCTGTACTTGTGCTTAATTGTTGGTACACATTTGGGGAAGCAATTTGTTCTCACTAGACTTTTTCAGAGAAAGCTAAGCAATTCTTCTTTGTGAGCTATGGGAATATGAGATTATAGATCAAACACAAGGTAATTTGTGGAATCAACATAATCATGGCATACTTACAAATAAAAGGATGTAAAATATTTAAGAATGTAATTTGTAATATAATACAGCAATGTCTCTCTTCTGACATTCTGCTGTCTGGAATTTCATTAGCAGGAATAATTAAATGAAACATATGAAAAATTTCTGAAAAGAAAGTGTGGCAGGCTGGCCTATGAAGTGCAAGAGGGGTTTCTTGATGAGAAAACGGTATATGTGATTAATCATAATTCAGCCCAACTATACTAAACCCACAAGCCCTGAGCTTTAGAAAAAGGATGTAGAAAACCATCCATCAGTAATGAAATGAACCTCATGTGGTATCTCCTTTACTCCCACCTCAGGAAGCCACTGCCTACACTACCTCTCTGCATGAAATGGAACATGACACACCCTCTTTCCAAGTCAAAAGTTTCATTTCATACAATGGATTCTCCAAAAATAAGTCTATTCCCATGAAAGTCAGGAGCAGCCCTCTAATCAGCAACTCTACAGGCCAGTCCTTCCATCTCGCAGCTTAGCCAGGTGTCCATCCACCTTTCTTCCTTCTCTAAGAGGGGCAGCCTGTGCTCTCTCAATCCATTTGACCTTCAAAGAACACCCCTCAGAAAAGTCTTCCAACCAACTGGGACTGTAAAGGCTCCATAAGGCTGAAGACGAGGCAGCACCTTTCACTTGGTACCCAGCTAAGCATACTGCCAGATGACAGGCGATCTAGTTTTCCTTTCAGTCTAGCTTGAGACTAAACTACACTAAAATATTATACATAAAAACAGAGGTATACCCTTCTCTTTAGCTACCACCAACCTAGTATCAAGAAAACTGGAACTTTCCTCAACCTTTCTATAAATAGGATGCAAACCTCTCCCTACCTAATTATTCGGAACAAATTCAACCTTGAGCCCCACAAGATTCCCACAACACTGTGTATTAACTTCTTTGCTTTCTATCCCCTCTCACCCTTTCATTCTAAATATCACTAGTGCTATTATTACAAGACAGAAAATACTTAATTGCACACAGTACAGGGACAATAACAACACCAAGGGCAATGATGGGAAGACATAAAAAACAGGAAAACCAGTTTCCCCACAGCAAAAAACTAGTACAGGAACCAGAGGGAAATGAAGAAAACAGATACTCAGATCCAGACTCCAACAAAATGAAAATAAACTATGCCAAAGAACCCAATGAAGCCCACAAGAATAATTTAAAAGAAGACATACTACAGGTACTCAATGAGAATTTTATAGAGATAATACTGGATATGGTCAACCAAAATGTACAGGAAACACTCAAGAAATTTCAAGACAACAAAAATAGAGAATTTGAAAAAGCAAAAGAAGAAATAAAGGAAACCATAGAAGCACCGCATAAACACCAAAGTGAAACAGAGAACACGATTAATAAACAGATAAATGAACTCAGGACAAAAATAGACAACATTAAAGAGGAAACGACCCAGGATATGGAAAACATCAGAAAAAAGAACAAAATAGAATTGCAAAACAAAACGGAAGGCCAATCCAGTAGAATAGAACAAACAAAAGACAGAATCTCAGAACTCGAAGATGAAATGGTAATTAAAGGAAAAACCGAAGAACTATTAATTAAACAACTCAAGACCTGTGAAAAGAAAATGCAAGAACAAACCAACTCCATCAAAAGACCAAACTTGAGAATCATGGGCATCAAAGAAGGAGAAGAGGTGCAAGCAAAGGGAATGCATAATATATTCAACAAAATAATAACAGAAAACTTCCCAAATCTAGAGAAAGATATTCCCATACAGATGCAAGAGGCCTCCAGAACACCAAACAGACCAGATCAAAATAGAACTACTCCACGACATATCATCATTAAAACAACAAGTTCAGAAACTAGGGAAAGAATATTGAAGGCTGTAAGAGAGAAAAAACAAATAACATACAAAGGTAAACCCATCAAAATCACAGCAGACTTCTCAACAGAAACATTAAAAGCAAGAAGAGCTTGGGGTGAGATCTTCTGGGCACTGAATGAAAATAACTTCAACCCCAGGATACTCTACCCAGCAAAACTATCATTCAAAATAGATGGAGCAATAAAAGTCTTCCATGATAACAGAAACTAAAACAATATGTGACCACAAAGCCACCACTACAAAAGATTCTTCAAGGGATTCTGCACACAGAAAGTGAAACCCAACGTAACCATGAAAGGACAGGCAGCACCAAACTACAGGAAAAGAAAAAGCAAGAAAGTAGAGAGTAACCTCGACTTAGGTACATACAATCAAACCTTCAAACAACTAAGACAACTAAATGACAGGAATCACCACATACCTATCAGTACTAACACTTAATGTTAATGGACTTAATTCATGCATCAAAAGGCACCGCTTGATGAAATGGATTAAAAAGGAAGATCCAACAATTTGTTGCTTACAGGAGACCCATCTCACTGACAGAAATAAGCATAGGTTAGGATGAAAGGCTGGAAGAAGATTTACCAAGCCAATGGCCCCCGAAAACAGGCAGGAGTAGCAATACTTATCTCTGACAAAGTAGACTTCAAACCTACATTGATCAAACGAGATAAAGAAGGACATTCCATACTAATAAAAGGGGAAATAGACCAAAAGGAAATAATAATTATCAACCTATATGCACCCAATGTCAATGCACCCAATTTCATCAAACATACCCTGAAAGACCTAAAAGCATATATTAACTCCAACACAGTGGTTGTGGGAGACTTTAACACCCCATTATCATCAATAGATAGGTCATCCAAACAAAAATCAATAAAGAAATCCAAGATCTAAAATATACAATAGATCAAATGGACCTACTTGATGTCTACAGAACATTTCATCCAACTTCTACACAATATACATTCTTCTCAGCAGCCCATGGAACCTTCTCCAAAATAGATCATATCCTAGGGCACAAAGCAAGCCTCAGCAAATATAAGAAAATAGAAATTATACCATGCATACTATCTGATCACAATGCATAAAACTAGAACTCAACAACAAAAGTAAAGACAAAAAACATGCAAACAGCTGGAAACTGAATAACTCATTACTTAATGAACAATGGTCATTGATGAAATAAAAGAGGAAATTAAAAAGTTCCTGGAAGTCAATGAAAATGAAAACACAACCTACCGAACCTATGGGACACAGCAAAGGCAGTCTGAGAGGAAAGTTTATAGCCATGAGTGCATATATTAAAAAGACTGAAAGATCCCAAATCAATGACCTAATGATACATCTCAAACTCCTAAAAAACAAGAACAAGCAAATCCCAAACAAATAGAAGGAGAGAAATAAAAAATAAGAGCTGAAATCAACAAATAGAAACCAAAAAAACCATACAAAGAATTAGTGAAACAAAAAGTTGGTTCTTTGAAAAAATAAACAAGATCGACAGACCCTGGCAAACCTGACTAAAATGAGGAGAGAAAAAAACCCAAATTAGTAGAATCAGGAATGCAAAAGGGGAGATAACAACAAACACCATGGAAGTCCAGGAAATCATCAGAGACTACTTTGAGAACCTATATTCAAATAAATTTGAAAATCTTAAAAGAAATGGACAGATTTCTAGATACATATGATCATCCAAAACTGAACCAAGAGGAAATTAATCACCTGAATAGATCTATAACACAAAATGAAATTGAAGCAGCAATCAAGAGTCTCCCCAAAAAGAAAAGTCCAGGACCTGATGGATTCTCTGCTGAATTCTATCAGACCTTTAAAGAAGACCTGATACCAACCCTTCTTAAACTGTTCCATGAAATAGAAAGGGAAGGAAACTGCCTAACACATTTTATGAAGCCAGTATTACACTTATCCCAAAACCAGGCAAAGACACCTCCAAAAAGGAGAACTATAGGCCAATCTCCTTAATGAACATTGATGCAAAAATCCTCAACAAAATAATGGCAAACCGAATTCAACAACACATCAAAAAGATTATTCACCACGACCAGGTAGGCTTCATCCCAGGGATGCAGGGTGGTTCCACATACGAAAATCAATAAACGTAATAAACCACATTAACAGAAGCAAGGACAAAAACCACTTGATCATCTCAATAGATGCAGAAAAGCCTTTGATAAGATCCAACATCATTTCATGATAAAAGCTCTAAGAAAACTAGGAATAGAAGGAAAGTACCTCAACATTATAAAAGCTATATATGACAAACTACAGCCAGCATTATACTTAACAGGAAAAACTGAAACCATTCCCTCTAAAATCAGGAAAGACAAGGATGCCCACTATCTCCACTCCTATTCAACATAGTACTGGAATTCCTAGCCAGAGCAATTAGGCAAGAAGAAGGAATAAAAGGAATACAAATAGGTAAAGAAACTGTCAAAATATCCCTATTTGCAGACATGATCCTATACCTTAAAGACCCAAAAAACTCTACTCAGAAGCTTCTAGACATCATCAATAGCTATAGCAAGGTAGCAGGATATAAAATCAACATAGAAAAATCATTAGCATTTCTATACACTAACAATGAGCAAACGAAAAAGAATGTATGAAAACAATTCCATTTACAATAGCCTCAAAAAAAATCAAATACCTAGGTGTAAACCTAACAAAAGATGTGAAAGACCTCTACAAGGAAAACTATACACTTCTGAAGAAAGAGATTGAGGAAGACTATAGAAAGTGGAGAGATCTCCCATGCTCATGGATTGGTAGAATCAACATAGTAAAAATGTCGATACTCCCAAAAGTAATCTACATGTTTAATGCAATTCCCATCAAAATTCCAATGACATTCATTAAAGAGATTGAAAAATCTACTGTGAAATTTATATGGAAACACAAGAGGCCACGAATAGCCAAGGCAATACTCAGTCAAAAGAACAATGCAGGAGGTATCACAATACCTGACTTCAAACTATATTACAAAGCAATAACAATAAAAACAGCATGGTACTGGCACAAAAACAGACATGAAGACCAGTGGAACAGAATAGAGGACCAGATATGAAGCCACACAACTATAACCAACTTGTCTTTGACAAAGGAGCTAAAAATATACGATGGAGAAATAGCAGCCTCTTCAACAAAAACTGCTGGGAAAACTGGTTAGCAGTCTGCAAAAAACTGAAACTAGATCCATGTATATCACCCTATACCAAGATTAACTCAAAATGGATCAAGGATCTTAATATCAGACCCCAAACTCTAAAGTTGATACAGAAAGAGTAGGAAATACTCTGGAGTTAGTAGGTATAGGTAAGAACTTTCTCAATGAAACCCCAGCAGCACAGCAACTAAGAGATAGCATAGATAAATGGGACCTCATAAAACTAAAAAGCTTCTGTTCATCAAAAGAAATGGTCTCTAAACTGAAGAGAACACCCACAGAGTGGGAGAAAATATTTGCCAACTATACATCAGACAAAGGACTGATAACCAGAATATATAGGGAACTTAAAAAACTAAATTCTCCCAAAACTAATGAACCAATAAAGAAATGGGCAAGTGAACTAAACAGAACTTTCTCAAAAGAAGAAATTCAAATGGCCAAAAAACACATGAAAAAATGCTCACCATCTCTAGCAATAAAGGAAATGCAAATTAAAACCACGCTAAGATTCCACCTCACCCCTGTTAGAATAGCCATCATCAGCAACACCACCAACAACAGGTGTTGGCGAGGATGCGGGGAAAAAGGAACCCTCTTACACTGTTGGTGGGAATGTAAACTAGTACAACCACTCTGGAAAAAAATTTGGACGCTACTTAAAAAGCTGACATCATCTACCATTTGATCCAGCAATACCACTCTTGGGGATATACCCAAAAGACTGTGACACAGGTTACTCCAGAGGCACCTGCACACCATGTTTATTGCGGCACTATTCACAATAGCCAAGTTATGGAAACAGCCAAGATGCCCCACACTGACGAATGGATTAAGAAAATGTGGTATCTATACACAATGGAATTTTATGCAGCCATGAAGAAGAACGAAATGTTATCATTCGCTGGTAAATGGATGGAATTGGAGAACATCATTCTGAGTGAGGTTAGCCTGGCCAAAAGACCAAAAATCGTATGTTCTCCCTCATATGTGGACATTAGATCAAGGGCAAACACAACAAGGGGATTGGACTTGAGCACATGATAAAAGCGAGAGCACACAAGGGAGGATAGGTAAGACACCTAAAAAATAGCTAGCATTTGTTGCCCAACGCAGAGAAACTAAAGCAGATACCTTAAAAGCAACTGAGGCCAATAGGAAAGGGGACCAGGAACTAGAGAAAAGGTTAGATCAAAAAGAATTAACCTAGAAGGTAACACACATGCACAGGAAATCAATGTGAGTCAATCCCTGTATAGCTATCCTTATCTCAACCAGCAAAAACCCTTGTTCCTTCCTATTATTGCTTATACTCTCTCTACAACAAAATTAGAGATAAGGGCAAAATAGTTTCTGCTGGGTATTGAGGGGGTGGGGGGAGAGGGAGGGGCGGAGTGGGTGGTAAGGGAGGGGGTGGGGGCAGGGGGAGAAATGACCAAGCCTTGTATGCACATATGAATAAAAAAAATAAAAAAATAAAATACAATGATCTCCAAAATAATCTATCCCCTGAAAGTCAGGAGCAAGCCTCAATCAGACCAACTCTAATAGGCAAGCCCTCCAGCTCACAGGCTGTAGCCAGGTGCCATCAACCCTCTTCTTCTCTAAGATGGGCGCATGTGCTCTCTCAACTCTATATGACGCTTCAAGAGCACCCCTCAAGTAATAGTCTTCATACCAACTGGGAAGTGATAAAGGCCCACCAAGACTGAAGACGAGGCAGCACCTTCACTTGGTACCCAGCTAAGCATCCTGCCAAAGACAAGGCGATGTAGTTTTGCTCCTTCAGTCTAAGCTTGGAGCTAACACACTAAAATATTATATCATAAAAACAGAGGTATAAAGACCTCCCTTCTCTTTAATACCACGACCAACCTAGTATCAAGGAAACTGGAACTTTCCTCAACCTTTCTATAAATAGGATGCAAACCTCTCCCTACCTAATTATTCGGACCCAATTCAACCTTGAGCTCCACCAGATTCCCACACCACTGTGTATTAAAAGCCCAAAAGTAAGGACAGAATAAGACTTTTTAAAATCATCACACATCAACATAGCAATGCTTTACTTGCTAACTTTGACGCCAGCATCTCTGAAGGATCCCCATCGAAGGCCAGTCATTGCAAACACAGGTTGTTCCTTTTCACCCTGGAAGTTAAATACATTTGATTTAGCTTCATAAATACAGTAACTTAGCACTCTCTACATGCACAAGTATCTAGCAAATGTTCATGGCCTATTTTACACCAAACCAAAATTCTAAAAAGTATGTTCAAATATTAAAGAGGTTAAATCCACAAGCATGCTGTAAGAGTACTTGGATAACCCATACTGTAAAATGAAAGTAATTTTTAGTCTAAATGGGTTTTTTTGTTTTGTTTTGTGTTCTTGGTGGTACTGGGATTCGAACTCAGAGGCTTCGTGCTTGCTAGCCAGGCACTCTACCACTTGCGCAATACCTCCAAACTGAAAGTACATTTATATATTAAATCTCATGAATTTGCTGGCAAGGGAATATATTAGTTGCAATTCAGAACAGCTAGCTCCTAAGAGCTGGAAACTGATAGACACCAGGAACCCCCACTTTCTAAAGATATCTGCCAAATGCTGGACACACATCACAGTTTGCTAAGAGGCAGAAGAACCAACTCAGTTTCCCCGACACCATCATCTACCATGACCAGTATAAGCTAAACCTGGGGAAGAATTCTTGATACAGGAAGTTATCAGCCTGGAGAAAACATACTTCATCTTCTGTTTAGGCAACTGAAGGCTCCTCATTCTTACTTGCATTCTCATTCCTAATATGCCAAAACCAAGAAAGGGATTTCTAGGAGAACCACACACAAGTAAGGAGAAGCCTACTGGTCTCTCCTTTCTTTTTTGTGTATGTGCTCATGCAGCAGATTTTCTACTCTCTGTACCAGAAAAGAAATAGAAAAGAAAACTAGAGAGAGAGGTGGCACAGCAAAGATGTGATGGTGAGGCAACTCACTGGCTGCACAGGAAGAACATGTAAGTCTCAGCAGTATCAAGTGGACACTGTGGAAGCCCACAAGGCTTTGAGTCATCTTGATAGTACCTCATCAAAGAAACTAGGCTAGGGGCTATAGTACCCAAGTAGTAAGAGGCTGTGGAGGGAACCAAGTCTGGGAGCTGAGGGAGGAAGGTAAAAGAAATGAAGCTAGAACAGTTCTCCAACCTCAGAAAACCACATCTTTGGGAGGCATCCAAACAACTCACATATGAACCATTAAGAGAATTGGCACTAGGGCATCAGCAACCAATGCTAAGTTAAAAGATTTGCCTCTAATCCTTCTATGAATCAACAGTAGAGGGGCTAAACACAGTATAAAAAGGAGAAAGTAGAATGAAAAAACAGATATTCTAGAGATTTCAGGGGAGGGGTGAATGCTAAGTGATAGGAGATGAAAGAAGATGCTACAGGTCCAAGGACATTTGAAGAAACCTGAAAAACATGATCAATCCAGATAAAGCCAGGAAGATGACAGGGACCAGACTATTTGGACCTGTCACTGAAGGGTTTAGGTTAGTGTGCCCTAACCTGTGACTGCACACTGGTCTGTGGAAAACAGACCACAGGAAGGCAAGGGCAGGAGGAGACAGTAGTTAGAGCACCTGCAATAATCCAGACAAAAAAGGAAGGTGCTCAGGACTGTGGTGGGAACAAAAGCATCAAAAAGAAATGTGGACTCAAGTGGTAGATGGAGTGGCTCAAGTGGTAGAGCGCCTGTCATCAAGCATGATGAAGCCCTGTGTTCAAACCCCCGTACTGCCAAAAAAAAAAAAAAAAACACCTGAAGAAATGTGGATTCCGGATGATTTCTGACACCTGCCAATGGGAGTCAAGGTTGATGCCAACATTTGGGATATAGCAAGCAATGACGTGAAGACCACATTATTATGTAAGAATTCTGTATGTTGATCACTAAAGATTCATAAAGTAGAATAGTAACTTAGAATAATTGTTTGAAGTAAAAATCCTCACGACACCTAGGTGATGTTAGGCATAACACTGTATTACTTATCTCCTGAACACTGGCTTCCACCTGTGAAAACAGGATCATATTTTGCTTGATATTCAAACTTCTCCACGTAATTTCCTACAAGGTATAAAGGATTATTACCTCTGTATCCTCACCTCCTCTCATGGTGAGTGGCAAGCCAATAAATAAAACTTATTTTAAATATAAATAATAATAACTATTGTTAATCATAAAATTGAGTGACAGAATTATCCTGTAAATCAGGTAAGTGAATCAAAAGCATCTCTTTTCTTACTTCTCAATTGTCAGAACACAGAGATGTTTTCATTTACTTACCCAGGAGGTATTTACTGAACCTCCACTCTTGAGCATAGCCTTGTGCCAGGAGCAAAAAAGCTCAAAGTACAGTAGGGGGATATATAGACATATATGCAAATGTAGCAAGCTTTCTCTCGCTCCTAGTTCTCCCTGACCTAACTGGGGGCAACTGGAGATGCAGAAAAGACAAACAATAGAAGACAGACATGCAGAAAGTTGGGGTCAGGTGTGTTAGGCACTCGGATGGAGACGTACAGCAGCCTTGTTGCTTCTTTTTCTGTAATAATTCTTCTTTTACTTTGCCTCTTTTCGCTCTATTCTTTAAGTCCTCAGTTCTTAAGTCTTTCTTTAAAGCCTTGCTTCTTTTCTATTCTTTAAAGTCTCTTTCCTTAGACTTGCACTGTCCCATGTTTTCTCTTAGCTTTTCTTTAGCATTATGTCTCTTAAAGTCTTTGCCCTCAGACTTGCACTGCCCCGTGTTCTTTTTATTTTTCTTTAACTTAGCTTTTGTAACACCTATGTATGAAGTTCTTGGTGCAGAAAGCTGCTCTGGTGGAGACACACTACAGCCAGCAGCCAGTCAATCCCCCATCAAAAAACTTCATGTCCTCCTTCAGCAAGTCTTTTATATCCAGTGGTAAACAAAGAGGTGGAGCAATAGTTCTCATGGAGGGGCGTTGACACTGTAACAAAAGAAACCTGCGTTCCTACTGTTCCTACTTCTCTGAACATAAACAACTTAGGAAAAGCAGCTGTGCTGCATTTTGCCTTCTTGATCTCTTCTGCAACCGTGCCAAACTCAGCCTGTAGATCAGTGAGCACAACTGTGCTTATGTCAAGTTCTCATAGGCTTCTCATAATCTACTCCCCACATGCAAACAATAACACAGACAGTTCAGATAACAGATATGCACAGAGTATTAAAGTACAAAGCAAGTGCAACTGTATAATGGGTGGGGGAAGTGAATGTGATGAACAGCTGGGGCAAACAAAACTATTAAAAAACATAACTATTCTTGTAAATATTATTTTAATTGGCAGATCAGTTATGGGCTACAACGTAAGTACTTAATTTATGTATACAATGTGGAATGATTAAATAAAGCAAATTAGTGTATCCATTACCTCACTAATCTCTTTTTGGTGAGACATTTGAAGTTTACTCTCTCAGGATGAATATACATTATTATTGATTACAGTCATCCTGTATTCCTGCTAATTGTAACTTTATATCTGTGACCAACATTTTAACAATAAAGGACCTAGAGACTGGGAGAAATTATAGGGGAATGGAGAAAAGAAAAAAGAAGAGATGAGAGAGCATTCTAGGCCAAGGACAGAACTAGCCCTGTGTGAGTTTGCTGCATTTTACCACTATTTCCCCACATTTTCTAAGATGGTAATAAATGTCACTTCTAAAGGTAATGATGACAGAGACAGAATGAATGACAGTTCATTCCATGGTGAGCTAGATTGGAAAATAACAAACTTATTTTCTTTTTATGTAGCCCATGCTGGCCTGAAACTCACAATCTTCTTGCCTCAGTCTCTCAAGTGCTGGGATTACAGGTACACATGACCATACCTGGCTGCAGTTCTTCTTAAAGTTGTTAGTTCGTTAATGTATATTATAAACTTCCAAAAGAAATACAGTAAGCAGCTTTCCTGAGTTTTTAACTGGCAGCCCTTTCCTAGGAGGACTTTTCCACATCACTAACATACCCTGAGAACTGCTGCTCTAAAGCATGTGATGCAGGAAAGAAATAGTGAAGGCAGACTTAAGGACTCAATACTTACGGATCAGTGCCCTAACACATCTCTTTCTTCATCTGAGGAGGCAAACTCTTAGGAGTATTCTCTTAGGATTCTCTCAGGAAAACCAGGTACCTCAAGGTTCAACTGATATAGGGTGCTATGTCCTAGTGAGGGGTAGGAATGGCTCAGGACAACAGGAAATGGACAGCCAGGACTGATACGTGTGAAGAGATATAGAGAAGCCTAAACAATGGCCAGACAGGCAGAGCTGTCAGGATTCAGAAGGGCCTGAGGGTCAGTAATGGAGACAAGTCTCTGTGGAGGTATATACAACCATGATTAAAATACTCAAGGTCAGAGGGACAGAGAAGAAGCCAATAGATTAAGTGTCACTGTAGCTTAGCCCACTGAAGGCCTGGGCAGCTAAACAGATTACTATGAGATGAGCAGGTCAGTAAACAAAAACCAAAAGATGAGAACACAGCCAGACCTTCAAATCAGAGGAGATGTGCTACCCTAACTCACAGTCATCCCGAAAAACAGCAAATCCTTGAGAAAATGACCTAGTGGTATGCAAAAGAAAGCAACTGGGAGAGGTGGTTGAAATAAAGACTTAAGGAACAGGGAAAACTATTTCTATCAATTAGTTTTGTGCCTAATGTAGGAATTTTAGGAACCCTAGTTTAAGAGAATTAAGAGAATGCTCAGAGCCTGGGTCTAAAAAGAAGGACGAAGTAGTGAGCCAGGTAGGACAGACAGCAGAATGGAGATGGTCGACTCTCCACCGCTGGGTTGGCAGGGCCTAAAAAGCACAACTGAAAAAGCAAAAGGAATGAACTAGAAGGAATTCCTTAAATCTTTCCTTTAGTTTCTTTAAAGACAAGTACTAGGCATTTGTTATGGTTTAAATACGAAATGTTCCCTCACAGGTTCACGTGTTCAATGCTTGTTTTCTAGCAGGTGATGGTACTATTTTGGGAGGTGGTGAAAACTTTTGGAGGTAGCGCCTAACTGGAAGAAGTGGGTCACTGAGGGGTGAAGGTTATAACTGGTATTCATTCATCATGA